AACTTCACTTTGGCCTTTTTCCCTATTAAAAAAAAAAGCCCTTAGACTTCATACATTAATTTTTTTTTTTTTTTTTTGACAGGCAGAGTGGACAGTGAGAGAGAGAGACAGAGAGAAAGGTCTTCCTTTGCCGTTGGTTCACCCTCCAATGGCCGCTGCAGCCAGCACACCGCGCTGATCCTAAGGCAGGAGCCAGGTGCTTATCCTGGTCTCCCATGGGGTGCAGGGCCCAAAGACTTGGGCCATCCTCCACTGCACTCCCGGGCCATAGCAGAGAGCTGGCCTGGAAGAGGGGCAACCGGGACAGAATCCGGCGCCCCGGCGGGTACTAGAACCTGGTGTGCCGGCGCCGCAAGGCGGAGGATTAGCCTAGTGAGCCACGGCGCTGGCCCATACATTAATTTTAAAATCCAGGCCGGCGCCGTGGCTCACTAGGCTAATCCTCCACCTTGCGGCGCCGGCACACCGGGTTCCAGTCCCGGTTGGGGCGCCGGATTCTGTCCCGGTTGCCCCTCTTCCAGGCCAGCTCTCTGCTATGGCCAGGGAGTGCAGTGGAGGATGGCCCAGGTGCTTGGGCCCTGCACCCCATGGGAGACCAGGATAAGCACCTGGCTCCTGGCTCCTGCCATCGGATCAGCGCGGTGCGCCGGCTGCAGCGGCGGCCATTGGAGGGTGAACCAACGGCAAAGGAACACCTTTCTCTCTCTGTCTCTCTCTCTCACTGTCCACTCTGCCTGTCAAAAATAATAAAAAAAAAAAAATAAAAAATAAAAAATAAATAAAATTAAATAAAAAAAAAATTTAAAATCCTAGTATTAAGCACTATAAGAGAATATATTTTGTTAGGTTAAAAAATATTTCAATTCATTTTTCAGGTAGATTCACAAGTATTTTAAGAATATGGAAAACAATACGAAACTAGATGATTCTGTTATAAAGCAAAATGGTATTCAACTAGAATTCAACAGCTTATGGCAATTTGGCAGATCTCTACTCCTAGCTAGGGTTTTTCCACATACAACTGAGATCTCTTCCAGGAGATGTCCCCTGCAGGGCCCCAGGCCTCTTTGCATACTGTCAGGCCAGGCTTATCCATACAAATGCAATGTTCCCATGAAAAATAAATAAATATTAGTTCTGAATTATCAACTTATTACATAAAATTCTCCAATACAGCAAAAGGAATTAGCTTCAAGACTCATCCAGATTTCCAAAATAATTTAATTTTTAAAAATAAAAATATATTAGTTTGGATTTTGGTTTAAAAACGTAAAGAATCAGGGTAATGGAATGAAGGGTAGCTTTTTTAAATGTCTTTGTCATGTCAACTAAATTACATTTGAGGCCGGCGCCGTGGCTCACTAGGCTAATCCTCCACCTAGCGGCGCCGGCACACCGGGTTCTAGTCCCGGTCGGGGCGCCGGATTCTGTCCCGGTTGCTCCTCTTCCAGGCCAGCTCTCTGCTGTGGCCCAGGAGTGCAGTGGAGGATGGCCCAAGTGCTTGGGCCCCATGGGAGACCAGGAGAAGTACCTGGTTTCTGGCTTCGGATCAGCGCGGTGCGCCGGTCGCAGCGCGCCAGTCGCAGGGCGCCGGCCGTGGCGGCCATTGGAGGGTGAACCAACGGCAAAGGAAGACCTTTCTCTCTGTCTCTCTCTCTCACTGTCCACTCTGCCTGTCAAAAAAAAAAAAAAAAAAAAAAAAAGAAGAGGAGCAGTCGAGACTATATCCAGTGCCCATATGGGATGCTGGCAGTAGCACTGCAGGCGGAGGATTAACCTACGGTGCCACAGCGCTGGCTCCCACAGATGACTTTTCTAGTTGGTATTATTAAAGAAATTCAAAGCTCTAAAACTATATTGACATATGAATTTATAAGTACAACTAAGAAAGAAAGAGTCTGATTTACTTTTGCAAGACCATGTATGAAGCAACTATCAATGAATGGCACAGGTATTGTGGCATGGTGGGTTAATTTACCGCATGCCACACTGGCATCCAATATGAATCCCAGTTCGAATCCAGTTGCTCCACTTTAGATCCAGCTCCCTGCCAATGTGCCTGGGAAAGCAGCAGAAGGTGGCCCAAGTGTTTGGGCTCCTGTCACCCATGGGGTGACCTAGATTGAGTTCCAGGCTCCAGGCTTTGACCTGGCCCAGCCCCAGCCATTGCCACCATTTGGAGAGTGAATCAGCAGGTAGAAGAGCTCTCTCTTTAACTCTGCCTTTCAAACAAATAAATCTTAAACAAACAAAAAGCCAACTAGCAAACTTTACATCAATTTGCATATTATTAATTCAGGGTGAAAGTAAATATTTCCCTTCCATTATTAAGTATAACTCCTTCCATTCTAAACAATAGTCTGACTTAACCTAAAAATAGAATAGTATGTTCTAAAAAACAAGTACCTAGACATGATATCTCAAGGAACATTTCTGCTGTCCCTGTTCCTGCTTTGTTTGAACAATCTATCCTTTTAGTTTGGCTGCAATTAGACCATAAACAAACAGGGTTTCGTCACAAGTTCCCCTAAGGAGTCATAGGTACAGACGCTAAACTACTAATATTATTTAAAAAACTATGTCAGTTTTTTTGTTAAAGCAAAGTTCAGACAGTACTGAATCAGTAGACTATATGACATATTTAAAAATCAATTAAAATATTTCATGTGAAAGGGAAGAACAGACAAATATTGACTTTTAGTGAGGAATGATTCACCAAGAAACAATTTCACGGGGTTTGGCATTGTGGCACAGTGAGTTAAGCTACCACCTGTGAGTGCTGGTTTGCGTCCCAGCTGCTCCATTTCCCATCCTGCTAACATCCCTGGGGAAGCAGCGGAAGATGGCTTGGGTCCCTGTCACCCATGTGGGAGATCCAGATGTAGTTTCAGGTTCCTGACTTTGGCCTGGCCCGGCCCTGGTTGTTATAGGCATTTGGGGGAGTGAACCAGCGTAGGAAAGACCTCTCTCTTTCTCTCCCTAACTCTGCCTTTCAAATAAATACATAAATAGAAGAGGCAATTACATGGTATCTGTATCTGAAGTCCTCTAACATACTGAATAGTTTTCTATGTGTCAGTGTAACAACTAGAATTTAAAATATCCTATCATAACATGACACCTGAAAATCTCCACACACACAAAGCCACCAAGATTTAATACCAACCAAATATTCTATTAGAGAACACTTACAACTAAACAATTTGAAACTACATATGTATCTCAAACTCTGGATTTAAAAGTTAGCTGCACATGCTTCTCCATTATGCTTTCAACTTCCCATTCAGCATAACAATTACATATAATTCTCAGGAAAAAATTAAAGTTTTGTTTTTGATGACAATCTTGAGCCAAAGCATAGCTTGTTAGACTACAGTCAGTAACATATAAACTGCACTGAAGAATAACTTTACGTTTCAAGATGGACAAGTGCATGATTGATGAATCCATAATTTCACAGCTAACTGGGTATATATTTCAGCAATGGGCACCCAAAAAGAAGAGATAAAACTTTTTTCAGAGCCATACTTAGCTGGTTGCACCAGTTAAGTAGATGGTTTGATGGTACAAGTATCTTCCCAGAGGTTGCATTTATTTGGGCACAATTTCATATGTAAAAAAGAAAGGAGAAAGCCATTTCAAAAATTTTCTAAATATCATTAAAAATTACAGGGTGATTAATAAAGTATTTAACTTTCATGCTTTGTTTTTCAGGCTTGAAAACAGGACAATTATGGAAAACTCATCTATAACCCTAAATCACCTTTCCTGCACAGTAAAAACAAATCCCGAGGTAGAAAATTTCAAAACAAGGGCAGACACAGTTTTGGAAGCAAATTATTAAAAATTAAGAGAGGCTGAAACAAATTTTCTATTTTCAAGAAGATATGGAGAAAATTCCACTTAATCAAACTTATAATAAACTCTCCCAGCCCACACCCACCATTTCTGACTGCTTTATTAAAGCCATTTGACAATAACACTCCATAACCTATTCAACAAACTATTTATCTTTATGTCATTGGTTCCTTTTACATAAGCTTTTGCTGTGTTCAGGTACCTCTCAAGTTTAGCAAAAAGAGATGTGAAACTCAGGATTGTAATAATATTAGCAATGATACCCTACCTCAAATATTTCAAATATTAATTTATAAACTATCACCTGGATGAAGCAGACATCCAAAACTGACATACCAAGCATGATCATTTGGTAAACAAACCGTTATGTAATACCTACTTTATATCCCTAACTAATTACTTTAGAACCACAGAGACTGCCTTTGCTTTTTAAAAGACAAGTACTGTCCTTGTTGCAATTTTCCCTCAAGACGCCCCTGTTTCCCTCAGGGAGAGAAGGTAGTTTTTCTAAAATCCAAATTTCCAAGAATCTCATAACTGCTTCTCTAGGTAATGGAGCCTGGGGAGGTGGTGGTGGGGGATGCTATCAGCGATTTTAAGACCCATCTCCTAAAAGCAGCGATCCAGGACGTTTCCAAAGCAGCTCGAAAACTCTCCATGCAGCCAGAGGCACCGGCGGGGCGCTCGGGGACGACAGCAATGCCATCTTGCGCTGGCCGTGGCAGCAACACCGATCTCACACCCAATTCTCCTCGGTCACCTCCATGTGCCTCCCCAGCTACCTTCAGAGGCAGGTGAGGCGGCGGCGGGACACGCAGCCCGGTTAAAGGACACGCACCCCGCCGCACCGTCAGCTGGCCTAACAGCCGCGACGGGTGCGGAGACGGGCACCGCGGAAAGGAGGAGTCACCGCGCCCACAGAACCCCGCTCTGAACCCTCCGAGCAGGTTCGCCCAACTCGGTGGCCCCCAGGGACCTGCGGCGGCGCTGCGGGGAAGCCGCGGAGGGGCGGGAGACGGAGGACGCAGGCACCGCGCTCACGTCGCCCACCGGGGCCGGGGCAGGGGGAGCCGCGAGGCTCGGGGTGGGGGAGCCGCAGAGGGGTGACGCCGCCACGCACCCGGCAGCTCTGACTCACTCACCTGCGGAGCCGATTTCCATTCATGGAGCTGGGGGGAGTGCTTCCAGCGAGAACGGGGCCGCCACTGGGGGCCAGGAGGCGGTGCCGGGGGGCGACGCGGCGCGACACGCACCCTTCCTCTGCCCCGAGGCGGGGGCGGCGGCGGCTTCCCCTCAGCACCCGCACTCCGAAGGCGCTCGGCCGGAAGAGCCGCCGTCGAGAGACAGCACTGGACTAGACCAGAGGAAGGAGAGACGTAAGGCGAGGAGAGGGGAGCCCTGTCCGGAACTTGCGTCGCCCGCAGCCGCTGACGCTCCCGCCGCTCCTCCACGACTGCGGGCCGCCGCCGCCGCCGCCGCCGCTCTCCCCGGGGCCGCCCCCGGAAGCCCGCCGGCGTCAGTTCCGCTGCCCGGCTCGCCCCGCGTCCACGCCTCGCCTCGCCTCCGGGACCCGAGCGGTGCGGGAGCGGCCAGCGCGGAGGACGCCGGGGAGGTGTCAGGGCGCGGGCGCCGAGCAGTCCCCGGTGGGAGACCGCCGCACGTCGCGCGCCACCCTGGTGAGGGCGGTGCCCTGCCTGAGGCGACATAGCTGCGGGCCCCAGCTTACCTGAGGAGCGCCTACCTGGAGCAGCCGTGCCTGGCCGGCTGCGGTCCCGACCCGCCTCCCGACCCTCCCGGCCGCGCCCAGCTGAGGCGTCCCGCGCGCCGCTGCCTCGCAGGCGGTCACGCCTGCGAGTGATGTCCGAGCCCATAGCGTTGTCTTAACGACCTCCTCCCCCAACCCCCGCCGGGGTGGGGGCGGAAATATACAATACGGTTTGGGAAACAAATGATTAAGAAAGAAGCTGTTACATAATTTGCACGTTTAAAACTTTAATAGCGCCTCGTCGCACTGAACAACCCAAACTCCTTTCGGGGTTAAAACGCCGTTCTGCTGAAACTCACAGTCTGCCTCTTGACTGTACGGTAGCTACACCGGTCTGCGTCCAGTTCCCCCAGCCGGTCAAGTGCTGCTTTTGATCTGACTTGGAGCCTCTTGGCTTCTGGTTCCCTTGGCCAGGAACCCTGTCCTCCTCCCTTTGACTTACTGCACACACGCACGCAAGCACGCACGCCCCTCGCTGCTTCTCATGTGCCAGTCATCTCGGAGCGCTCTTTCCTGGACCACCCGTTACTCTCAAAATCCTCCCCCGAGTCTAATTCGTTTAGTTTACTTCATCCAGTGCTCCTCCCTTCCCGCACTAGAACGTATGTTTTGTTAAGAAAACCAGGTCCAGCCATTGTCAGGCAAATAGTCGGTCCTTAATACTTGTTGCCTTAATGAAACATGATACAATTTTGTACAGGCTAAGCAATGACTCATGGTTTTCCCTATGTCCCTAAGCATCAGTAATGTTTAGACTTTGTTTAATCTAAACTCATTGACTTTTTAAAAGGAAAGTTTTTTTTTAAAAATTCTATCTTCATATCTTCATCTCCCACCCCCTCGGTGTGGGACTTTGGAACAGTCACTTGACCTCTTTAGGCCTCAGTTTCCTCATCTAAAAAACGGGAATAACAGCAGGTACCTTACGGAGTTGCTGAGGTTAGGGAACAAAGAACAATGAAAACTCCCTGAATGTTATAAGTAACAAAAGCATTTGCTGTAGTCACCACTTGAAGCACTGATTAGCTACATCTACCATATAATAAATACATAATAATTGGAGGAAACTGAAAACCTTGACCCCACTTCTGCGTCTTCTTCCTTCAGATCCCTACCCCCCGTGACTGAAAATACCCTCCCCATTTTTAAAATATCAAAATAAATGTCACCAGATGAAACACTCACTGCATCTTAAAAGTCATTTTCAATTATTGTACACAACCCAAATCTTGGTGGCAACATCTTACAGGGGAAATACCAACTCTGCAAGGGTCTATCACATCCTTAAGACACAAACCTTGTGTCAAAAATTTGTTCCCCGAACAAGTGCAAACTTCCTTAGCTTCTCCCAGAAGACGTGGTGATGAACCCCCAGGGTGAGCTACTATCATTCTGACACTGATGGAGCAGGATTTGAACACTGATTGAATCCAACTCAAAAAAAAAAAAAAAAAAAAAAGATTTGAATGAAAGGTAGTGACAAAGAGGTCTTCCATATTTACTGGTTCACTCTCCAAATGCCCGCCACAGCCAAAGCTGACCCAGGCTGACACAAGGACAATGGAACTCCAGCCACGTTGCCCACGTGGGTGGCAGGGACCCAAGCACTGGGGTCATCGTGTGCTGCCTCCCAGGTGCATCAGCAGGAAGCAGCATCAGAAGCACAAGGTAGCCAGCACTCAACCCAGGCACTCCTTCCCTACGTGGAATGCAGCCTCCCAAGCAGCCCCTTATCCTGTTGCACCACGACATCCATTCAAGTCTTTAAACAACTACATGTCTTCCTATCTACTTCTGCGATCCAAGACTCTAGAAATGAGCCCCGCAGGGATGGCATTGTGGCATATTGGGTAAGGCCACTGCCTGCAACATGGGCATCCCATATGAGCACCTGTTTTGAGTGCCAGCTGCTCCACTTCTGATCCAGCTCTCTGCTAATGTGTCTGGGAAAGCAGCGGAGGATGGCTGGAGTGTTTGGGCTCCTGCACCCACATGGGAGACCTCGAAGAAGCTCCTGGCTTCAGATCAGCCCAGCTCTGGCCATTTGGGGAGTGAACCAGTGGATATTTCTAACCCTGCCTTTCAAATAAATAAAAAGAAAGAAAGGAGCCCATGTAAGGGGCAGGCATTTCGTGCAGCACTTGAGATCCCTTAAGCTCACCTCCCATATTGGAGTGCCTGGTTTGAGTCCCGGCACCTCTGCTTCTGATCAGCTTCTTGCTAATTCACACCCTGGGGAGGCAGCAGATGATAGTTCTAGTACTTGAATCCCTGCCACCCACATGGGTGGAGTTGTAGCATCCTGGCCCAGTTCTGGCTGTTGCAAACACTTGGGGAGTGAACCAGCAAATAGAAAATTGTGATTTTCAAATGAAAGGAAAATAGATATTTTCTTTTAAAAGTGAAAGGCTCATGAACTGTATTATCAGGCAGCAGGAAGACAAAGTGTGGATCGTTCTGGCAATAGTAAAGCTGTATGAAGCACTCCCCTGACCACAGACACAGCCTATTTTTGGATAACTCATTCCCAGCTAAATCTGTGCTGCTTGAAAACACAGAGCAGGGTCTGCGTATTTGTTACTGCCATAGCCCCCCAGTCCTAAAGCAGTACCAATGTCCAGCACATGGCAGCAGTTAGTAAATACCTTTTGGATGGATGAAAAAGGAATGAGATTCAAGAACAGGGGTCAGGAAGCAGGCTAAAACTGCCCTCATCCCTGTTGACACTGGTTCTCTCAGAAAAGAACTACAGAAATAGTACAAGGGGCAGGTGTTTGGCACAGTGGTTAAGATATCACCTGTGTCCCATATTGGAGTGCTTGGGGTTCAAGTCCTGTCTTCACTTCCAATTCTAGCTTCCTGCTAATGTGCACCCTTGGAGGCAGCAGATGATAGCTCAAGTACTTGTGTCACTGCCATACTTATAGTTTGAGGCCCCTAGGTTTGGCCTGCTCCAGCCTTGACTATTTAAGGTATTTATGGTGTGAACCAGCAGAAGGGAGAGCTTTTTCTCTCTGCCTTTCAAACAGATTTTAAAAATTTTAATTCTTTCTCTTCAAAATAAAAAGGCAAGCCACAGACTGAGAGAATGTATTTGCAAAATATATATCCAATAAAGGACTTGTGTCCAGAACTTATAAAGAACTCTTACAACTCAGTAAGACAACAGAATTTTACAATGGGTAAACAGAGCCAACATTGTGGCACAGATTAAGCTGCCTATGATGCCAGCATCCCATATGAGCAATGATTTAGTACTGGCTGTTCTAATTCTGATCCACTTTGCTGCTAATTCACCTGAGAAAGCAACAGAAGCTGGCCTAAGTATTTGGAGCTCAGCCACCCTCATGAGAGACAGATAAAGTTCCTAGCTCAAGCCTGGTCTAGCCCTGGCCATTGTGGCCACTTGGGGAATGAACCAAAGGATGGAAAATCTCTCTCTCCTTTGTAACTCTGCCTTTCAAATAAATGAGTCCTTTAAAAAAAAAAAAAAGGTAAATAATATGAACAAAGATATTAGGATGGCAAATAAGCAGTAAACATTGGTCATTAAGGAAAGGCACAATGGGCTACCAAATAACCAGTGTGTTCAGAAAGATAGGGTGGCATCCTGCACTGCAGCTGACTAGGCTAATCCTCTGCCTGTGGCACCGATACTCTGGGTTCTAGTCCTGGTGGGGGCGCCGGATTCCATCCCAGTTGCTCCTCTTCCAGTCCAGCTCTCTGCTGGGGCCTGGGAAGGCAATGAAGAATGGCCCAAGTGCTTGGGCCCTGCACCTGCATGGGAGACCAGGAGGAAGCGCCCCGCTCCTGGCTTCAGCCATTTGGGGGATGAACCAACGGAAGGAAGACCTGTCTCTCACTGTCTAACTCTGCCTGTCAAAAAAAATAAAGGTAGGGTGGCAAATGACTACTTTAACTGCTGGCACTTAGATCAGTATTTTTTACAAATCGGAAAGAAAGCTAGTTTGTACTGCAGCAGGATACACTATAAGGCATATGTGCTTTAGACACAGAACTAACACTGATAGCCTTCTATTACTCACTGTGATCATGGGAAAGTCTGAGATTCTTGTTCTTGTTTGTAAATTAGAGTACTTGTAAGGAGGCTGGCGCTGTGTTGCAGCAGATGAACACCCAGACCTGAAGCGCAGGCATCCCATATGGGCGCCGGTTCAAGACCTGGCTGCTCCTCTTCCGATCCAGCTCTGTGCTATGGTCTGGGAAAGCAGTGGAAGATGGCCCAAGTCCTTGGGCCCCTGCATACACGTGGGAGACCCGGAGGAAGCTCCGGCCATTGTGGCCAATTGGGGAGAGAGCCATTGGATTGAAGACTCTCTCTCTCTCTCTGCCTCTCCTATCTCTGTGTAACTCTTTCAAATATTAAAAAAAAAAAAAAAAAAAAAAAAGGGTTCTTGTGGGAAGCAGATGCTGCTGGATGCATACCCAATAGTCCTTCTCCCCTTTCTTACTAGTAGATATTACTAGACTTTCTCAGAGGATTGATTCCTGTTCATCTAAGCCACTCATGATGAATGATCTTATCTACTTTGCTGTCAACAGGAGTGAGAAGATGACCCATTTCTAGCAAATGAGACACAAGGCTGAGATCTGCTTGGGGCTTTTAGGGAAAGATTTCCTTACTTTAGATCTTTGATGCTATCACTGAGCTGCTGAAGTCAACCTTGGAGTCACATTAAATGAGGACGTCTATCATGTAAAGTGATAGTGTTCTTACTTAAGCCAATTTAATTAAAAATTTGTAATATATAATTGAAGGTAATTGATAAAGTACTGCATACGTAAAGATGCAATTATGTAACAGACACTGTATAAAATACTTCAAAGTTCCCAAGCCACTCCTTTTGCAGCTCATTCCCACTTACAACCCATAGACCTTTCCCAATGACCTGGCTGGGAGTTCTCACTGCCTCTTTTTAGAAGAAAGTTTCCCACCTCTGGAATATAGGGAAAAGGACCAAAGGCTCCTAGAAAGGTTCCTCAATATTACATGGTCCCAAAAGACAGCCCCAAGAGTATGGTGCTAGAGCTGCTACAGTCTGGAACACAAGAACATCAAATTCCTGCAGGATAAGCCCCGACCTAAGAAGCCTTACTATGGTATCCTGGGGAAATCACTTGTAGTTCAGAACTTCTAAATGCAGCTCATCATCCAGTAAGTCCACTTTTTCAGTTCCATCTCCTTGACAAAGCATCTTGGAAGGAGTGTTTTCATCACGTTGTGTAACTACTAACCTGCCAACTGTCCCCAGCCTGTAGCTAGAGAAATAAATGTATGGAAAGCTGGAAACAAAAAGGGAGAACTAATTTTCCAGAGCAATGATACTTTCTACTCAGTGAGTACAACAGCAGCCTGCAGATAGCCAGGCTCAGAACTTGAAACCAGACCTCTTTTACCATCAAACTCTAATTGCCATGAGATTCTGGGGCCTGGTAAACTAAAACATACCTAACAGATACAAGGCCTCACTCTGTCCCAAGGTAACAATCAGATAAAAATGTGTTACGATGTATTTTTCCAATTGACAGGGCAATGAGAAGGCTGCTCCATCAATGCTGAGAAAGGACACCTAGGGGTGGGAGGACAAATCTTCTCGCTAAACTTTAGGCTCCAGAATCAGACAATCCAGATCTGGGGCTCCCAGTATTGCTTGAGTAGCAACCAACAGCTGAACTCTGAAGCCATTTCAACATCAGTTGTTTCTAAAACTCAAGTGCACAGTAAAAGTTTGCCATAATGATCATCCATCTACTCCTTCTATTAAATACTTTATTTCTGCCTCTCTCAGTGTCAAATTGATTTCAATGTTCCAATTTGTTCTTCAAGTTCAACCAGCCTCACTCACCCTTGCTGCTGCAAAGGAGCAGAGGTCAGACTGGCTGTTTCCCAAGGGAATCTGGCAGATAGTAGCCACAGGTTAGGTTTGCAGTTTGAAAAGTCACAACACTTGGTCTCCAGAGGAATGCAGGCCCATTATGTACACACTGGCTGCCAGTGATGATTTCTTACTGGGCTCTCTGCCAGAATCTTTCCCTGAACCATCTTCCCCCAGTGCACAGAAATAACAATGCTCTGGCAGTATGAGGAAGGAAGAGCAAAACTGACATGTTTAACAGCTGAATTACTAGCAGAAGGTACAAAACATAGAACCTCCGAGGTGGGGTGAGAGTCGGGGGGAGATGATCATTTGCTTTTGTTTCTGCTTACCTGAAAATTCAGGAATGCTGAGTCCATCCTGCACACTCAGAATCACTTCTTGATCTCCCTCCCACGCCCACCCTGCCCCATCCTCATGAACCACATGGATTTCTAGCTCCTTTTCATTCTATTTACAAATATTAATTCCTTGTTATAAGCTATGGCCTGGAGATGACAAAAACCAGTAGATCATAAGTTTCTGCTGCTAGGAGTTCACAGGCCCTGGGGAAGAAATGTCACTGAAAACAAAGCAAGAGACTAACTGCTTTCTAGTACTTTGGTTAGGAACAAAATTGGGCTTTATTTTGTTCTTTATCTCCTAAGGATAAGAGGAAGTTTGAGGTATTGGTGGTAGTTGTGAACAACTTGGAAGTCTTAGATTTATTTTAACTGGGTTTTTTTTCAAAGCTCATTTTCAAGAAATATGTTGCACAACTCAGGTCAGTCATATATAGCTGTAAGATTCCAAACATGGGGAGATCAGTAAAATGAGCAGAAAAATACATTCTTTCTGTAGCAGTTCATGTTGTTAATCACTCCCTTCTTGGACCGTCTTAAGGTCTTGATTTTTTTTCTTACCTTATTAATCCACTCAATAAAATAAAATGATGTGTCACTTCAGGCTCTATTTTTCCCTATCCCCTAAATTGAGTTTCCAAAGGTTGTACTCTGCTTCTCTCTTAGCAATCTTATTCATGCCAACCATCTGTATAGCTCCCGTTATCTATAACTGCAGCTTTATAATCTTACCTGAGTACCACTTCTATGTTTACTGGAAACCTTAACCTCATTGCCCGAGGGGAACTCAGTCTACCTAAGGCTTTCTTCAAAAAGTGTACCACATTCCTTCCTTAGTCTCCTCTCATCCCCATCTGGATTAGAAGGATGTCCCAACATACTTACATGCTCAGGTAGAAACTTGGGCCCTAGCCTCTATTCCTCTCCTTTTCCCCCACCCCCAGCACCAGCCATTGGTTTCTATTAATTCTATCTCCTGTCTCTCAAATCTTCCCTTCTTCTCTATCTTCATTGCTATAGCCTTTTTCCAATCCATCACTGTCTTTCTCCTGTATAGGGGACTTTTTGACCAATCATAGCCTCCCCCCTCCAAAAAGAATGATTAAGCTCCTTAAGGAGACACTGTTTTCCCCTCATTTTTGAATTGTGTCTGTCCTCCTCCCCAGTACTACTGGCATGGTATTTTGCATGTCTGTTTAATGAAGAATAAATGTAGGCCCTGTGAAGTATTATTGTGTAACGATCTATTATCCTAACCAAGAACCTATCAGAGATGTAATTAATCCCAACAGTTTGTTTTGCTGGTAGAAAAAAAGAAAGAGACCATACTTTAGAAATAAAAGCCACTGTTGTCTTTATAAAACACAGAATTGTGCTGCTGCTGTTGCTTGCTTCAGAAGGAACTGTACATTACAGCTGCTGGGATAATTTCACAATGGACTAGACAAGGTACAGCTCAAAGCAGGACACAAACACAAGTCTCAAAGGGAAACAAATGCAAACAAGTACACAGCTGTGGGGCTTCAGGGACATTTCCCCATCCATGCTGGACTTGAGAGGGATAAAAAGTTTAGAAACTAAAGTGAAACCCAGAGTAGTCACACATGCCCACCACATGGCTGCTAAGTGCAACATCACACACCAATCAGGTTGGACTGTGTGCCCAGGGAAGTAATTTCATTTTTCCTTATTGCTACTACATCAGGGGACTCAGTGCATTTGACACATTGTCTTTACTTGCACAATTCTTGGAGGGTTTCCTATTTTCCTTTTAAAAGAAGGAAATCTGCCTTTCCCACTTCATTCTGTTTGAGCCCATTTCTTCCACTCCCTTTCTTGAGCTCCCAAACAGCAGCCAGAGGTTCTAAGTCAGTAGGAGTAGAGTAAGGGGAGAGCACCAACCCAGCCTCTCTCCCTACTCAGGGAGAAGGCAAGTCCAAGTAGTGAGGAGAAGGAGAGAACCAGAGAGGCCCTCCTCCCCAGTCTGCTTAGAAGGCCAAACAGGAAAGAGTGCCTTGCGTATCCCTGCCATGATCAGACTTTAAGAAGGAAGGCATCCCAGCTACCATCCTGGATTGGCCTAGGCCCAGTAAATAAATAAAAATAACTTTCTCCGACATAATTTCCAAAACTGCCTTTTGGCTAGTTTGAGATGACTTTTCTACCCTAATGGGGAAGAAGCTTCCGTCCTTATTTGTTACACACGATGCCAGCTCTAAAACACTGTCCCGCTCAGCCTTGCAGACATCCTACGGGCCAGCTAAGAAGTCAGTGTTCCCTTGGCTGCCCATCACAAGCGAATCCTCAGTCACAGGATTCTGGACCAAAAAAAAAAAAAAAAAGAAAAAGAAAAGAAAAAGAAAAGGAAGAAGGAAAAGAAAAAGAAAGAAAGACCCAAACTATCCAAAAACGTTGCTGCTTAGCCAAAGAGGAGGCCACAGAAAAGCTATCTAGCAGATGGGAACTGAGAGCATTTTAGGGCAATTTTACACTTTTAGGTGCCTACTTCTTCAGCTTTATCCTAAGCCTAAGTTCCCAGCAACAGTAGCCCCAGGCTTATCCCCAAAGGCCAGCAATAGCACCTCAACCCCACCATGGGTCAGGCTGGACTGGATAAACAATCAAAGAGCAGTGCTCTCCTTTCCCACCTTTTAGCCAAACTCTCTCCATTCTCATCTCTTCACTCTCTGCTTCCCCATGTCCATCCCTTAACTTGCCACCCTGGCTACCCAGGTAGCTCAACCCTAGAACATCGTCAAGAAAAGTGAGGCCCCAGATAGAGAGAAAAGGAAGCAGATTTAGAAAAAGCAACAAGAGAAATCAGTTCAAAGGAGTGGATAGGTATGGAAACTGCCAGAAGCCCTCCTAATTTCATGCCAGCTGGGCAGGCCTGCTACTCTGCCCCAGTGGAAGCTTGGGAAAAGAGAACAGTCCAACCCAGGGTTAAGAGTTAACACCACTGGGTATGCGGAGGAAGTTCTTGGTCTTCTGCAGTCAAGGAGCTAAGCCTGTCTTGCCAGCTAACAATAGGGTCACTGCAGCCATGCAGAGAATTCATCATCACATATGCAGACAGGCAGGCAGGCAGGCAGGCAAGCAAGCTAAGTGATTAGGGGGAAAAGGAAAAAGGAGCCATGGAAAGTGAGAAGAGAAGAAGGAAGGCAAAACAGTGGAACAAAGGGAACAAAGGGAGCGAGAGACCTGTCTAAGAGGTTGAGGTTGGGTTCCCCCGGTGTTACCTCACAGCTTCAGTAAGAAGCACCTCTCAAACCGAATCCAAGCAAAGCTTCCTGCCAACTCCACTTTTTAATCTCCATGTACCACCTTTCAAACAAGAATAATCCATGAGATCAGTGGTATTTTTCAAGTCTCAAGCATCCAAAAAACAAGCAAAAATCAAAGCAAGAATTTATTTCCTTGTCATTGCCCAAGCATGGCCGGTGCAATGCCAAAGGGCTAAAAATGCATTTTAAGCCCCAGCTCAAAACCCAACTGGAGAGAGTGAGGCAAAGAGGGAAAAGGAGAAACACGTAAACTTGTTGCTGGGAGTAGTAGCTGTCACCTGGCTTCTTATGGGCATTTGCAAATGCTGGTGAATGACTGGACCCTCCAGGAATAGTGCCCTTACTCCAGCCCCAAAATGTACCCAAGTAGAGAACATGCAGAGCCCATTGTCCTAGGAGAGCTCCCTCCCCAAAGGGTGACGGAACACGAAGTAGACTGTTTATGAAGGCGATGGACAGGGCAGATGGAGTGTTGGCATCACTCTCTTTAGGCACTTGTGTAAGGAATGTAGGCTCTCCAGTGAGCTGCCTCCTCCCAGAGCCCTCCATTCTGTTCTTCAGCTGGGCTTGTGCCCATGGGGCACCCATGCTATAGCCAGCAGGAAAAAAGCAAAGGATTAGGAGGAGTTTATTCAACAGTCCTGATGCTTTCTCCATAATGAATATTTGTGCTACATTTTGTGAAGTTGCTGAACAATGTAGCCAACCAGAACAGAACCTGGGAAAGATTGTTTTGCATAGCAAATCTGGGTCTGTACAAGGGATGCTGGGGAGAAGACAGGGCAGCTCCAACTCCAGAGGCCAGGATTTAGACCCTCCTTCCTTTGACTGGCCTCTAAGCCTGGGCTAGGCCTAAAGTATCATGGCTTCATCACCAGAGTGGGGCAAATCCAAGCCCAGGCTCTTCATAAGGGGGAATTTCCACACTGAAGTTTCAAGTCCCCATCCAAGCAGTGGGGAAGGAAAAAAACAAAACAGTCAAGGAAAGAAGGGACTTTGCCTCAAGGTCAGCAGGGACCAAGTTAGAACCCCCTTCTTCTTCAGTCCTGCAAAACAGTCAAACCCCTTATCTCAAGACAGAAAAGAAAAGAAAAAGCCCATGCCACCCACTCACATGCCCTAGTGGGAAACCAGGAAAAATTCATTTGTGTAAACAGAAGCATTTGGGAGCAGCAAAATTCCCCAGCCTGTCCACAGGACATGCTGGAATTTGGGATGAGCCAAAGGGTCAAAGGACAGCCCAGAGGAAGGGGAGATGCACTTGCAGGGGAGAGTGCAGGACAGTGCAGAGGAGGGAGCCTGTAGCAAGAAAAGGTTTTATCTGCACAGAGGAATGATGGGGCCTGAGCCCCACCTTGGGGAATTAACCAGCCCCTACCTAGCCAGGCCAGAGAATAAGTCAGGTACAGCGTTCCTTCTGATGGCTCAATGTTTTCAGGACGTAAACTCATCAGGCATGGGAAGGACTTCCAGATTTTGGCAATAGACTCAAGTTATGATATAAAAATAATATTTAGTTTTCTTTTTTTTTTTTCTTATTTTGGACCAGGATCATTTGTTGTAAGATATCCCAGTTAAGAAATATTGAAACTTAAGAGACCTGACCATCAGGAGAAAAAAAGACACCAACAGTGAGAAATGCTATGAAAGTTAACTCCGGGCCTGGGCAGGGTAGGAGGTAGAGGTGACGGGAAAAAAGGAGGCTTAAGGGGAAAGGCCTGGGGCCAGTCATCTCAGCAGCTCCTAGACTAGTCACGTCTGAAAGTGCAAATGTCAATGGATTTTAACCATCTTGAGGTTATGATCTTTTTAAAAGCTTAATGAATGTGGAAGTCAATTCCTTCAAATGCAAAAAAGCTGGCATTCTGGCTGGAGGCTCGTTGGTTTCTGGATATTTCTTCCCCACCTATCTCCTCTCCCACCCCACCCCATCTCCCAAAGAAAGGTACAAAAGGTTGCAGTTCTGCAGCATTACCGTTACAGGGAAGGCACTGGTTACCCACCAGCAGGCGGAAGGAAGACAGGGTCGTGTCACTTCAGAGCTAAGTGCCATAGTGCCTTAAGTGTTACTAGGGGCTAGATGTCTGTCAGGGAGAAGGTGGGGTAGAAAATGTGGAGAGAGAGGAATAAGGGCAAGGGTGGTGGCAGCTGGGGGAGGAGCAACCAAAACCATTAGCATTAAAAATCTTGCTACAAACTGGATTCTGAACCCATTAAAACATCTAGTATCCTAAAATATTGATCTGGGTCTGGTTTCATTTTTCTTCTTAAACAAATCTAGACCTTTTCTGATTAAGGCTCCTAAAAAATCCTTCCCTCTCCCACCCACTTTCTCAAGCCCCTCACTTTCCCATCTAAAGTATCAAACCCAAACCTACCAGCTTTTGTCCACAGGGCTGCAGAGCCGACCTTAGCAAGCTGTCAAGCATGAGTCTTTAGCACTGTGAGTCACATGAGACACCTGTGTGTATGGCGGGCACCAGTGCTGCCCCTCTTGGTCCAGTGGGGTCAGGGCCAGATGTGACAAGTTGGGGTGAGGGCAGGGGACATAGGGTTGATATTAGAGATTTCTGGCTGGTGGTCTGTCTTGCTGGCCCTGTTTCCAAAGCTCACACCCCGCTGTAGAAAGAAACAAGGCCTCCTGCACTCCTCCCTAGCCCACCTCCCTCCTCCTTGCTTCCTCTGGATTTGGGCGGCACAACTCCTGGGGCTTGGAAAGCTTTCTTCTATCCAGTGAGGTAACAGCGTTCTGCCTTCAAGCGAAGTACATGGTGCGCAGAGTATCCTGGTGAACCTGCACAGCTTTGGCCAGAGCCTGGGGGTCCCGCCCATTGCTCTGCCCCGATATGTGGCTCCCCTCTCCACTGAAAAAGGAAAAAATGAAAGAAGTTCTTCCTGGTGAATTGAGCTGCTGCTAATTCCCTCACCCATCCGTGGCATGCCAAATTCCCATACCGACTTGAGAGAAAAACAACCCAGGTTTGGGCAGATGACCCCAGTGGCACCAAACTAGATAGCACCCATTTACTTCTATGCAAGGAAAAGTGAGAGAGGCTGGTACGGTGACCTGAAGCAAAAAGGAAGCAAGCCTGACCCCGGGCCTCACCTGTCATGCTCCTTGTCCACCAGGTGGTATCGTGCCCGGAAAGCCACCAAGCGGGCATAGTAGGCAGGTGCTGGGATAGAGACGGAACGTGTGCATCGTACATAAGTGTGGCACAGCTGGTATGTCAAGATCTGGAGCTCATCTGCTGTGAAACGGTTGTCATCCCAAAGGACATAGTAATGGGAAGGTCGGCTGGTACCCTGGGAAGACAGGAAGGTGAGGGGCCCCAGGTTGGGCAGAGGGGATGGCTGATGATAAGGAACAAGATTACTGTTAAGAATATAGCTGGGTTTTCTGACCCACCCATTAATAGGCAGATACAAAGCCACTATTGTCATACAACACCCTTTTGTTGCCGGCACTGCAGGGAGTTAAGCCACTACCTGAGATGCCAGCATCCCAAGTACCAGCAGTGCCAGCTATTACAATTCTGATCCAGCTTCCTGCCAATGTGCCTGGGAAGGCAGAAGAATTTGGGCCTGTGTACTTGGTCTCCTACCATAGAAGTGGGAAACCAGGATGGCTTCTGGCCCAGCCCTGGCTGTTGTAGCCATTTAGGGAGTAAACTAGCAGATGAAAGATAATCTTTTTCTCTGGCACTCTGCCTTTAAAAAATAAGTAAATCTTAAAATATATATATATATATATATATATATATACACTCTTCTAATAATGGGAAACCAGCAAATATACTCAGAGCTTACCAACAGAACAATCCTGATTTGAACGCCATTCAGTGATGAATGATGTATTCTATAAGTAGTGGGATAACCAACTCTTTTTGACCCATTAGAAACCCCAGGATATAGCCCGGCTACCTGGATGCCTGCATGGCTGCACAGATAGAAGTCAAACTCAAAAGGGTGGGTGATGTTGGTGTCCACAGTGGTCCCAGCTGGGATGTTACCACTCTTCCCAATCTGTATAGAGACAAATACAACCAAGATCCCAAGACCTGCCTGGCCCTAGCTAGGGCCTTGGCTAAATTCTATGCTGATGCCACCAGAATCCCAAGAGCAAAGCAAAAGGTACTGTTCCCAGAGGTTACAGGGTCTTAAAATAAAAGGTTTCTAAAGTCCCACAGACCCATTTCCAAATCCTGGTTTTGCCATTTAAAACCTGCATGATCTTACCAAGTCATTTAACCTTTCTGAGGTTAACCTGGAGTTAGCAACAGTACCTACCTCACAGGATTGCTGTGAGGAAGATACCTTGCACAGTGCCTGGCACATAACGGTTCAATAAATGGCAGTGCCTTTTCCTTTTTCTGGGAGCTGGTCTACATAAGGGGACTAGGCCAGGGAGTTAGGAGGAGGGAAAGTTTAAGTGGAGGAGGAAGACACTAATGGAAGGAAGTGGGAGAGGAAAGACATAAGAGCTAGGGGCAAGGATGGGACCAGGGAGGATGGCTAGGACAAGTATGAAACTCCCAGACTTTTATCTTCCCTATCAAAACAGACAGACAGGAGTAGGGAGCTGGTAGTCTCCTCAACTGCTCACTCACTCGCTCATTCTTGTCAGCACAAAAAAGGCGGGTGTGATGGCGTTTCTGCACCACGATGTAAGTGATCCCAGGCTGGTAGTCCTTTTCCAGTTTGATGCAGGCATCACGAATGGCCAGCAGCTCATAGTGGAGGATCTAGGTACAGGGAGAGGAGGGGGACAAAGACACAAAGCTCCTCTTGAGTTCACACATCTTTCTGAACTAAAGAATTGCCACTTGAGATATGGCTTTTCGCTCTGCCTCCCTTTATATGCTGATGCCCAACAATTAGAGATGATAGGCCCTTCTTGAAAAATCAGCCTTATACTTAATTCACCTGATATGTACCTATAAAACCTTGACTGGGTGACTTCACATCAGGAGAGAACAGTCGCCTGGGTCCTAAGCATAAAGAGACCTAACATCAGGACACAAAGTTCACAGAGAAATCACTAAAATCACAATGTCCCAAAGTAAGTTAATTTCACTCAGGATCGAGAGGATACTAGCAGTTCCCTTGTGAGCTCCAAGAGGAGACAGGATTTGGACCGCTGCAGAACAGAGAAACAGAGAAAATACCGTGGCTAGAGAAGCCGCCACAGGTAATTAATCACAAGCAATAGTTGCCTATGGCCATGGATATCAGATACAGGGAGTCCAAACTGTATGGTAGAAAAGGATGGAGTTTGGAATCAATTAGAACAAGGTTAAACGCAGCCTTTAAAGCTGTATTTCATTCAGCAAGTTATTCAATCCCTCTAAGTTTCATTTTCTCCACATCTATTAACGTTCCAAATAAGACGCTTTACAAAGCTGTTGTGAAGACTAAGATAACTTGGTAAAAGCACAGAAAACCTAGGAGGGCTTAATAACTGCTGGTTGTTTTGCTAATCATTTGAATTTTAACCCAACGCTATGTGAAACCACTAGATACTTCTGATCAAAGTAGTAATATGGGGAGTTAGCACTGTGGTATAGTAGGCTAAGCCTCCGCCTGCAGCATTGACATCCCATATAGGCACCGGTCCGAGTCCCGGCTGCTCCTCTTCCAATCCAGCTCTCTGCTAATGTACCTGGAAAAGCAGCAGAAGATGGCCCAAGTGCTTGGGCCCCTGCATCCACATAGGGGACTCAGAAGAAGCTCCTAGCTCCTGGTTTCAGATTGGTCCAGTTCTGGCCATTGTGGCCATTCGGGAAGTAAACCAATGGATGGAAGATCTTTGTCTCTGTTTCTCCCTTTCTCTGTCTCCCCCTCTTTCTGTCTGTAACTCTGCCTCTCAAATAAATAAATAAAATCCTTAAAAAAAAAGTAACATGGATAAATTTGTCTGGTGTTTTAGGAAATGCTAAATGACCTGGAGGAAATAGAGCACATGTCCTCTGGAATCAGACCATTGTGTTGGAATCCCAAGTCCTCTGCTTTATTAGCTTGGATGACACTGAAAAATCATTTTGACATTTCCAAGCCTCAGTTTCCTCATCTGTCAGTGGGTATAATAAAACCTATTTCACTGAGTGATTATAAGATTTAAAAGGATATAAATGAAGTACTTAGCACAGTTCATGGCACATAATAAGTGTCCATTAATGGGAATTAAAATACTACTAAATGACAGTTTAGGAGACCAGTTTGTTCTACTAACTAGTATTAAAAAAAAAAAAAAAAAGAATATGCAGGCTTGGCACTGAGAACAAATAAGAGGAACATTGTGAAGGAAGGTCAGTGCAGCAGTGGTTCTCACAGCGTGAACTCCAGACCAGAAGCATCACCCAGAAACTTGTCAGAATTGCAAGTTCTAGTGTTCCCTGCTAGACTCACTAAAACAGAAAACTCCTAGATTCCTGCAAACTGTTTTAAACAAGCCTTCCAGGTGATCTTCTTGATGGATGCTAACACTGAGGGTCACGGGTCTACACAGTCTTCAACATGAACCAAACAGTAAATAGGCACCAAGGGCTTTCTGTTACAAGGACGTAGATATTACCTGGATACTCCACCTCCTCAGTTGTGATCTCTGTCCCCAAGCCAACCCCATTTAGCAAACCCCCCCAGGAAGCGGCACACCTCTAGTGCCAACAGCTTTGAAAAGGTAAAAGCAGCTAGCTCTCGGCCTCAACATGAAGGTTTCTCCTTCTGAGATGGGCTCTACCTGTGGGAGCTGGCCTTCAGGGACCCCATCTCGGTAGAAGATGATTCGGGTAGGCTTGAAGCGGGTGGACTTGTAAAACTGGATGAGCAGCTCACGCACCATGTAGGACAAGTCTTCAATGATCTCCTGCCGCGGTCGCTGAACCCGCACAGTAGCACAATATCGGCTGGGGTGGGCGTCCATGCTGCCTACTACCTGGCATTCAAAGAGGAAAAAACAGCTCCCAGAAAGTTCATCCAAACTTGCTGCCACACCAAGGGCTTGGAGAGAGGCTTCCCAGCAAAACTGCGACTGGATGAACAGGGCAGCGGATGCAATGAGCCCTAGTTTCAATTCCTATCCTACCACAGAATTTACTTAATTCAACTGATAAGAACATGCTCCTGCAGTGCTATTGTGGTCCATATAAAGCACAGTGAACAAGGCCCAGCCCACAGTAGGTACTAGATAAACGTGATTTCCCCACTCCTAGCAGAGGGGCATGTAAAGGTCTGGCACTACCAGATCAAACAACAACCTCACCCAGTCCAAGGTTACTCTTTTTGTTCCACTCTACAGCTACTCTACCTAGGAACCATGACCGTAACAAGGTTCTTGTAGCCAAAGTTTAGGAAGCATGGCCACAAGGAAAACAGGGATAAAGCATATTTCAGGATTTCACTGCACTTCACAGGCTGTCTAGAGAAATGAGAGGGTTCAGGAAACAAAAGTAGCAAGGCAGGCCTGAAGCCTAGCAATTTGGAAGCCCACATGGGGCAGGGAGCGGAAAAAAGCAGGCAAAGGGACTGGAGAGACATCTAACCTATGAAATGAATTAGAAGTTGGGGTGAGCCAGAGAAAAGAACAGTCCCAGCAACTAAGTCAGTCCCTTAAAAGAGATTCTAGGCAAGAGAGGTGGTCACTCCCACATATCCCAAGAGCAGTCTTGGAGAGAAACAAAAAAATTTAAATGCAAAATACGAGTGGTGGGGAGAAAGGGGCAAGTCTTTGGTCACAGGCTATACTTTCACTATTCTCCCTGACAAAAAGACACCAAACCATACAAAGTTAACTTTAAGAAGATGACAAGGGAGGAAGCAATGGGGATGGTGAGATGGTGGAGATCTTATGAAGGGTTAAGGGCCAGAGATGAGGGAAAAGAAATCCTGCGCAGTATTTGGGACTTGGGGCCAAGAGGAGAACTTTGTGAGGAAGCTGGAAAGTATCACTCACTGCTGTAATAGAAGGTTTCTTCCCATCCCCGGCTGGGGGGTGTGTAACATCTGCTCCCAGGAATATCACTGGCTGTTGAAAGACAGCAGAGCTGAGCAAGGAAGGAAAAACAAAATGGTGAGGAATTGGGTCTTCTCTCTCTAGTACCATCCAGCACCCATTCTGGTCTTTCCCCTTATGTCTGATTCACTCTGCCTGGTCAGGATCCTATCTCTTCATTAATCCCCATATGGTACCTTGACAAGGGCAAGCAGACAACAGAGTTCATACCGCTGGTGTGGAACTAGGATGTTGTTAATGCCACCGAGTTTGACATTGATCTTGAGGCAAAGGTTGGACAGAGTCTGAGGCGAGGTCTTGACCACGTTCTTCACCTGCACACACTGTGTAGCCATTCCCAAGAGCGTATCTCCAACACGTTTCACCTCAGCTACAGGCAGAGAGAACTGGTTAGTGCACTCAACAAATATTTACTGAATGCCTATTAAATGTCAGGCAGTATATGAGGTACCAGGAAATACAATGGTGACCAGAAACACATGAAGTCCCTACTCTTAGTGTGTTTATTAAGTAGTGACTAACGTTAAAAACCATGAAAATCCCAATATAGACATATGCTACAACAAAACTTGCTGGAGCTGTAAGAATGTAGAACCAGGGACAACAACCTAGTCAGGAAAGGATGACTGGTAATGACTAAATTGAAATCTGAAGGTAGCAAAGAACACAGAAAAGAAAAGGAGGGTTGGAGAAAGTACTTCAGGCAGAGGAAAACATGGCAAAAATGCACTCTTTTAGAAGTTTGCAAAATGTTTGAGAAACTGGTAGAGCACAGTAACTACAAAGGCAAGCAAGAGGACCACGCTGTGGGAAAAAGAACAGGCTTCTGAGGCTGATCGACAGAAGAGGCGATGACAGTGTAGATTAAGAAGGCAGATGAGGGGCCAGCGTTGTGGTGTAGCGGGTAAAGCTGGTGCCTGTGATGCCGGCATCCCATATGGATACTGGTTCGAGTCCCAGCTACTCTACTTCAGATACAGCTCCCTGTTATTGCACTTGGGAAAGCAGCAAAAGATGGCCCAAGTGCTTGGGCCCCTGCATCCATATGGGAGACCCAGAAGAAGCTCCTGGCACCTGGCTCCGGTCTGGCCCAGCTCTGGGCGTTGCAGCCATTTAAGGAGTGAACCAGTGGATGGCAGATTGTCTGTCTCTCCCTCTCTCCCTGTAACTTTGACTTTCAAATAAGTAAAATAAATCTTAAAAAAAAATGCGATGAGTTGTCAAGAAACAAATAGATTAAAGAGATATTTAAGGGACTCTGTTAGACAAGATACATAAGGAAACAGATTTTTACAAATAACTTTGAAGTAGAAGACAGATTATAAATTCTTTTTGAGACATTTTGAGTTTGTGCTTTTTGATCATCCCAGCAAAGATGTCAACCAGGCAAATGGGTATAGTCGTTAGAAGCTCAACAGAGTAGTCTGAAACAGAGATACAAATTTTTGCAATATTTAGGTACAGGTAGTAAGTGAAGGCATGATATTGATGAGATCACCAAGGAGGATGGCAATGAAAAGAGAAGAGGCTTAGATAGAAATCCTGAAGAACTGTCAGAATTTGTAGTACAGGAAGATGACACCAGCCATGGAGAAAAATCCAGAGCTAGAAGGAAGTCCAAGACAGTAACTTATCATGCATGCCAAGTAAAGAAAAAAACTTTCAAAAAGAAACAGTGGTCACAAAGTCACAAGTAACTAGATCAGGTAAAACAAGGAGGAGGAATGTCTTTTGGATATAGTGATGTTGACGCAAAAGCTGTTTTGGTGATATAATGTACAAGCAGGAGATGCAGGATCAATCAAAGTGTTGGTATGTTTTCTCTGAAAGACTCACGTATGTTTAGAAAGCTAAAATGATATTTTAATTTTTTTTTTTTGACAGGCAGAGTTAGACAGTGAGAGAGAGACAGAGAGAAAGGTCTTCCTTCCATTGGTTCACCCCCACAGATGGCCGCTACAGCCGGCACACTAAGTCAGTGAGCTGTGCCGATCCAAAGCCAGGAGCCAGGTGCTTCCCCCTGGTCTCCCATGCAGGTGCAGGGCCCAAGCACTTGGGCCATCCTCCACTGCTTTCCCGGGCCACAGCAGAGGGCTGGACTGGAAGGGGAGCGACCCAGACAGAATCCGGAGCCCCGACCGGGACTAGAACCTGGGGTGCCAGCGCCGCAGGCAGAGGATTAGCCTACTGAGCTGCGGCGCTGGCTGATAATTTAAATTTCTAAGAGAGATGGAATAACCAGTGGCAAACCATTTTCTCTGTAGAGAACATTCAGAAAAGCCAGGTAAAATACAGAAACCATCTTTCTGAAGGCACCAGGTATTAAGACATAAGGACTGGAGAGGTTAGCCAGCGCCGCGGCTCACTAGGCTAATCCTCTGCCTAGCGGCGCCGGCACACCGCGTTCTAGTCCTGGCCGGGGCGCCGGATTCTGTCCCGGTTGCCCCTCTTCCAGGCCAGCTCTCTGCTGTGGCCAGGGAGTGCAGTGGAGGATGGCCCAGGTGCTTGGGCCCTGCACCCCATGGGAGACCAGGAAAAGCACCTGGCTCCTGGCTCCTGCCATCGGATCAGCGTGGTGCGCCGACCGCAGCGCGCCGGCCGCGGCGGCCATTGGAGGGTGAAGGGTGAACCAACGGCAAAGGAAGACCTTTCTCTCTGTCTCTCTCTCTCACTGTCCACTCTGCCTGTCAAAAAAAAAAAAAAAAAAAGACATAAGGACTGGAGAGGTTAAAACTCCAGAGAGAGAGAGAAAATCTCAGAGGAGAGCTACCTTCAGCAGCTTCTTTTGTCCTGGGTACACTTATGGATTCTAGGTATGGGCAGCAGACTGAGAATCCAAGCTCTGCACTACCAGAGGGACTACCACCAGCAAACAAGCAACAAGAGCTTTTTGATGTTTTGAGACATCAAGACATGTACTAAATGTGAAAGTTCTAAATGTGAAAGTTTTAAAATAATGACAGTAAAAAAAAACATAGTTATTTTCATAACATTGGGATTTCTTAAATAGGACACAGAAAGTACTAGCTAGGGGGCCAGCACTGTGGCATAGTAGGTTAGGGGGCCAACTGCAATGCTGGCATCCTATATGGTCACCAGTTTAAGTCCCAGCTACTCCACTTCTGACCCAGCTCCCTGCTAATGTGCCTGGGAAAGCAGCAGATGGCCTAAGTATTTGGGTCCCTGTCACCCACATGAGAGGCTTGGATGAAGTTCCTGGCTCGTGACTTTCACCTGGACTAGCCTGGGCCGCTGTGGCCACCTGGGGAGTGAACCAACGGACGAAAGCTCTCTCTCTCTTTTCTGTTTCTCCCTTTCTCTCCATAAGCCTGCCTTTCAAATAAAATAAAACCTTAAAAAAAAAAAAAAGAGTACTAGCTGAAATACTAATAAGCTGGACTATATTAAAATTAAAATGTTCTTCTCAACAAAAGATACCATTAAGAGAGTAAAAAGGCAAGTCAGAGAATATGTGTAACATACATATATATTCAATAAAGGAATGATAAAGAAGGCCTATAAATTAATAAGGAAAAGGCAGTTAAGTCAACTATTTAAAAAAAGGAAAAATTTTTCAGACTTGAGCAGGCACTTTACAAAAAAGTGCTGGTGAAATAGCCAACAGAGATGAAGACATACAATTTTATTAGTCATCAGAGAAATCAAATGAAAATCACAAGGAAAGATAGCATTAAACACTAACAAGAGTGGCTATCTAGAAAATAAAAAATATGACATTTGGTAAGGATGTGAAACATCTAGAATTCTTTCTCCTATGCTGCTGGTGGAAGTATATATTGGTATACTTAAAATCCATTCCTAGATGGCCGGCGCTGCGCTCACTAGGCTAATCCTCTGCCTGTGGCACCGGCACACCAGGTTCTAGTCCCGGTTGCCCCTCTTCCAGGCCAGCTCTCTGCTGTGGCCTGGGAGTGCAGTGGAGGATGGCAGGAAAAGCACCTGGCTCCTGGCTTTGGATCAGTGTGGTGCGCCGGCCACAGTGCGCTGGCCGCGGCGGCCATTGTGGGGTGAACCAACAGTAAAGGAAGACCTTTCTCTCTGTCTCTCTCTCTCACTGTCCACTCTGCCTGTCAAAAAAAATCCATTCCTAGATACATACTGAACAAAAACGGATATATATATTCAAAGTAGACATAGAAGTGTTCAATGAAGCATTGTTTATAATTGCCAAATACTAGAAATAATTCTAAAATGTATTTTTTTTAATTTTTTTTTAAATTTTTTGACAGGCAGAGTTAGTGAGAGAGAGAGAGAGACAGAGAGAAAGGTCTTCCTTTTTTCTGTTCATTCACCCCCCAAATGGCTGCCACGGCCGGTGCGCTGTGCCGATCCGAAGCCAGGAGCCAGGTAGGTGCTTCCTCCTGGTCTCCCATGTGGGTGTAGGGCACAAGCACTTGGGCCATCCTCCACTGCCCTCCTGGGCCACACAGCAGAGAGCTGGACTAGAAAAGGAGCAACCAGGACAGAATCCAGCGCCCCAACCAGGACTAGAACCTGGGGTGCTGGCGCCGCAGGCGGAGGATTAGGCAAGTAAGCTGCGGCGCTGGCCTCCAAAATATATTTTAATAGAATGGATAAATATATGTAAATTGTGCTATAATCATATCATGGAAGAGCTGTAATAAACTACAACCAGACATAAGGAAGAACTCAAACTTAATGTTGAGTGAAAGAAGCCAGACACAGGGACCTGTACTGTGGCACAGTGGGTTAAAGCTTTGGCCTGTAGGGCCGGCATCCCATATGGACGCTAGTTCAAGTTCTAGTTGCTTTACTTCAGATCCAGCTACCTACTAATGTGCCTGGGAATGCAGCAGAGGATGGCTTGAGTCCTTGGGCCCCTACACCCATGTGGGAGACCTGGAAGAGGCTCCTAGCTCTTGACTTCAGATTGGCTAAGCTCTAGCCATCGTGGCCGTTTGGGGAGTGAACCAGTGGATGGAAGATATTGCTCTATCTCTCTCTGTAACTATGTCTTTCAAAGTAAATAAAAATAAATCTTACGAAAAAGAAAGAAGGAAAGAAAGAAAGAAGCCAGACACAAAACAATACACAATGTAGCCATCGCTGTGGCATAGTAGGTTAAGTCTCCGCCTGCAGCACTGTCACTGGCATCCCCTATGGGCACTAGCTAGTTCGTGTCCCAGCTGATCTTTTTTTAATATTTTGTTTATGTATTTGAGAGATATAGTTACAGACAGTGAGAGGTAGAGACAGAGAGAAAGGTCTTCCATCTGCTGGTTCACTCCCCAAATGGCTGCAACCGCCGGAGCTAAGCCAATCAGAAGCCAAGAGCCAGGAGCTTCTTCCAAGTCTCCCATGTGGGTGCAGGGGCCCAAGGACTTGGGCCATCTTCTACTGCTTTCCCAAGCCATAGCAGAGAGCTGGACTGGAAGAGGAGCAGCTGGGACTCGAACCAGCGCCCATATGGGATGCTGGCACTGCAGATGGAGGATTAAGCTACTGCACCGTGCGTTGGCCCCTCTGTTCCTCTTCTGATCCAGCTCTCTCTGCTTACGTTCTCGCTGTCTGTAACTGTATCTCTTAAAGAAATAAATAAAAAATCTTTTTAAAAATCTAAAAAAAAAGTACATATGATATGATTCTATTTATATAAAGTTCAAAAATAGGCAAAACTAATCTATGATGTTATAAACCAGAATAGTAGTTCTCACTGGGGGAGCTTTATAGGTACTAGTGTAATGTTCTCCTGGATACTGGTTACACTGGTATGACACTATGGGAGCCAGTTCAAGTCCCAGTTGTTCCGCTTCCAATCCCTGCTGATGCGCCTGGGAAGGCAGCAGAGCCCCTGCACCCACGTGGGAGACCCAGAAGAAGCTCTTAGCTCCTGGTTTCATACTGGTCCAGCTCCGATCCTTGTGGCCATTTGGGGAGGGAATCAATGGATGGAAGATCTTGCTCTCTGCCTCTCTTCTCTCTTTCTCTGTAACTCTGCCATTCAAATGAATAAATAAAAATATTAAAAAAAATTTTTTCACATAAAAAAAAGCCAGTAGTAAGAAGTTAGTAGAGCCCACTTTCAGCATTGTTTCCCAGGCCACGAGACATCTCTTTCCTGGGGCTGTCACAGTGTCACCAGCCCCTGGGGTGTTGGAGAAGGCACCTCAAACCCTGTGTCTCATCGCTTAGGAGCCTCCTGCCACCTTCTAGACCTGCTCCCTGACTGATGTCATGCAGGGAAGAGCCTTGGTGGGGAGAGGTAAGCCCCAGGCCCCGGGGGACCCACAGGGACAACAGCTCCTTGGGACCTGGAGAGAGGGGACGAGTGATAGGCCAAGTGGGTCTCCAAAGTTTGAGATCCTGGAAAACAACAGGTAGCTCGTCTTTGTTTTAGTTTAGGATTAGTCAAGCTCCTGGATTGTGGAAGCCAGGAAATGTCACCCAGCTGAAGACTGGTGGCAGAGGCTGTTTTAAGGGGGCAGACTTCTGGGTCATGTCCTGGGGCTTTGGGCCCGGCCTGGCAGGGTCTGCCCTTTGTGCAGATCCTGACCCTGGTGCCTGTGAGGTTGGGGTCACCCCTTCCTTGGTCCCTGAATCACAGCTGTTTGCATTTTATGTGTTTTCTATATTTTCCTCAGTTGTTTGAAAAGGAATAATAGAAATAAAGTTGTTTGCTTCAGGAAAAAAAAAATAAGTTACTGGAGAAGAAGGAATTAAGTACACTGAAGACAGGATTTGCAGCATGATACCAGATCAAAATTGGATAGATGTGATTCTGTCTTTCCATACTCTCAGGGCAACCACAATGCCAATAGGACTTCAATTCACCCAGGACAGGAAGAATGTCATTCCACCCAGCCTCTCAGGAGGAAGGGTAAAACGTCTAGAAGAATGTGACTTCTCTTATCGATTGGCTAAGTTTCTAGGCACATGGCCCCATTGCCAGGAGGCATAACCAAGGAACTGTAAATGAAGAAACTCAACATCCTTACAAAGGTTGTTTTTTTTGTTTGTTTTTTTTTTTTTTTTTTTTTTTTTTTTGACAGGCAGAGTGGACAGTGAGAGAGAGAGACAGAGAGAAAGGTCTTCCTTTGCCGTTGGTTCACCCTCCAATGGCCGCCGTGGCCAGCGCGCTGCACTGATCCGATGGCAGGAGCCAGGAGCCAGGTGCTTTTCCTGGTCTCCCATGGGGTGCAGGGCCCAAGCACCTGGGCCATCCTCCCCTGCACTCCCTGGCCACAGCAGAGAGCTGGCCTGGAAGAGGGGCAACCGGGACAGAATCCGGTGCCCCGACCGGGACTAGAACCCGGTGTGCCGGCGCCGCTAGGCGGAGGATTAGCCTAGTGAGCCGCGGCGCCGGCCCTTACAAAGGTTTGAGGCTGACATATATCACATTACTGAGCCCAGAAAGAGAAAGTTTTAAATAAATGCTGCTTTCCTAAGTATGTTGTATTCACACACATATTTTTCAAAGATTTTTACACCAAAATAAATTTGTCCCTTAATTCTGTTTTTCTACAAACTTTGTGAGGTGCCCTCATAGCCCAAAGACAAGCCAAAAGACTGGATTCACCCCTTAATGAGGAGAGCCAGAAACATGGATACTTAACTCAAGGGAGTACTCCTAACAAGCATCCCTATCTCCCATCTCAGGTCATCAATTTAAAGCCCAAGTGAACTACGGACTGGAGATCAACTAACTTTACTCCATAGATAATTACTGAGTTACCATATTGATGGAAGACTCTACCTTAGGTGTACATGTGCAGAGGGAAGAAGGTTTCAAAGTAGAATCAGATCTGCTCCATGCTCAAAGTTAACATCAAGCAAGGTGGTAAATGATCAGTGCAATAAACTAGAAGAGTCCAGAAAGAGACAAGTTCACCCTTGACGACAAGAATAATAAGTAGCATTTAAATTAGGTGTGGAAGGATGGGGATGACTTTAAGGGCAAGAAGAAGAGTATCCAGATATTTCAGGCAAAGGCAAATGATGTAAGCAAAGTCAGAAACTGGAAAGCACAGACAAGGAATGAGCATTTACAATGCCTACTAGGTGCCAGGCACTGTGCTAAATGAATTCTTTTACATAATTAATTCATGAGACTTAGAAAAGTTAGGTAATTTACCTTAGCCAGTGGACTGGCCAAACCAGGATTGAAATGCTGTTCTAATTCCAGAACAAGTGATCTTTCTAGTATATGTGAACAGTACAAGATAAAATGGAAAAGATGCAAGTTTACCAGGGCCCTGAAAACCTTTTATGTAGTAATCATTGGAATCAATTTTTTCTTTGGTAGTACAATCAAAATCTTATTCAGTAATCATTTAAGAAAGATTTGAGGGGCCAGCATTATGGCGTAGCAGGTTAAGCTGCCACCTGCAGTGTTGGCATGCCATATGGGCTCCAGTTCAGGTCCTGGCTGCTCTACTTCTGATCTAGTGTGCCTGGGAAAGCGTGTGTACCTGGGAAAGCAGTGTAGGATGGCATAAGTGCTTGGGCCCCTGTGCGTACGTAGAACCCAAGGGGGCTCCTGGCTCCGGCCTGGTCCAGCCTCGGCCATTGCGGCCATTTGGGGAGTAAAGCAATGGAAGGAGGTTGTCTCTGTCTCTCCCTGTCTCTCCCTCTCTGTGGCTCTTTCAAATAAATAAAATGGATCTTTAAAAAAATAAAAATAAAAAAGGGGAGGCCAACATTGTGGTGCAGTGGGCTAAACCTCTACTGGCGGGACTGACATCCCCTGTAGGCACTGGTTCATGTTCCAGCTGCTCCACTACCAATCCAGCTCTCTGCTCATGGCCTGGGAAAGCAGTGGAAGATGGCCAAGGTACTTGGGTCCTGTGTGGGAGACTTACAAGAAGCTCGTGGCTCCTTGCTTTGGATCAGCCCAGCTCCAGCCTTTGCAGCCATTTGGGGAGTGAACCAGAGGATGAAAGACCTCTCTCTCTGTAACTCTGACTCTCAAATAAATAAATAAATAATTTTTTAAAGAAAGATTTGAGAAGAAATGCTACAACTGCATTGGGAAGTATGGATTGAGAGCAGGATATATTTCTTGAGAAAGATTATGAAAAAGAATACTAGAAGAGAAGATAGCCTGCCTCCAAAGTTTGAATGAAGGTCCCCAAGAGCAATTCTGATGCCCAACATGGAAGGCAGAATTAAAGAGAAAAGTTCATGGAGGAGAGAACAGCTAGTAAAGAGATATTCCACCAGAACTCCTTGAAAGGCAGATTGTCACTACTACTCTGCTACCAGTGAATCCAGGATCTAGCACTGCGTTTCACGCACAATAGTTAGTCGATATGTTCTTGCGGAAGGGAGACAGAAAAACAAAATAGTTCAAGGATTGGAGCAAGATTTTAATAATGTAACAAATAATAACAGGTGATGACTGAAACATGATGGGAATTTCAATAGAATGTAAATATAGAGAGTGAAGGCAGAGGACAGAAACCTAGAAAGTATCAAACATTCCCAATAATGACAAAAATAAGGAGGAACAGAAGGAAATATTTAGAAGTCAAGTGAAAAGAAAAGTTGAGCAAGGTCACTCCCTTGCAAAGGAGGTTTAAGAAACAGGTAGATAGAAAAAAAGATTAAAAAAAGCTAAGGAGTAAGTGGCTGGTGAGGAAGTGAGCATACAGATTTAAGAGAACTCATTCAAAAGGCTTGATCACGAAAACAGGAAAACAAAGCTAATGGAGATGGTAAAATATGATAGTATGCTCTAGGATGGGGAATCTGAAGATGTCTGAGGGCTGAAAGGGGATAGAAACAACCGCACAGAGGAGTTGAGCCAAGTAAGAAGATACCTCTTCCTTTGAATTTGAAGCAAGAGAGGTAGTGATGGAAAATGGAGTAAAAGTGCTGAGCTAGAAAGGTATACAGTGGTTCCTATTCTAAAACAGAGAAGGAAAAGGAGGAAAGAAAACTTCTCAGAAAGTCCTAACCATTACCAGGCATCAGAAGCATCACACACTCTGCTTGGAGGTGCTACACAAGGTTCCGATAAACAGTACAGTGCTAAGGATGTGAACTGGGACTTATCCATCTCTGTATCTGGACCAGCTTAGCCTGGCATAAAGAAAATCCAGTAAATGTTGCTGGGAGGGAGTGTGAACAGGTAGGCAGGATCTGGATGAATTAATGGTTCATGTAGGCTGACATTTCTCCTATATTTCCCCTGATGTTAAGGAACAGCTCTGGCTAGAAGCAAGAATTTACAGAGTCCTCCTTAAAAGCCCCCAGGAAGCTACCCTGAGAGCAGTACTATCAGCACTACTGTCCCAAAAGAACTGTACCATACACCGGCGTCTTCCCTGGCAGGATGACGATAATGAGCTGCAGCCCTGAGTAGGTGTTCTTGAGATGCCGGAACATGGGCTCCACGCTGTCTGCCCCCTGTGCGTATTTGCAGAAGCAAGGCTGACCCTGGATAGGCATCCCTGCATCCTTGGAAATCTTCCGCAGCTGGTCTGTGAAGTTCCTGTAGTATGGTCAAGACAGGAGGCAGTAAGTCTCACTTTAATATCTCTAATCAAATGCCTCTGTCTTAGGTGCTCAGCATTATGAGACACTGAGAGATTCTAACATGAATGAGAATGAACATAGCTAGTATAAAAAATACATTTATAGTTGATTAACACATGACAGAGCTTGCTAAGTGTTCAAAGGTATAAGTAGAGAGCTAAAGGAACCCAGAGAAGGGACCTGTGGGAATTATCAGGGTCCCCACCTTCTCCCAACCAAGCAGTCAACTCTTGTGCTCCGTTACATGTCCAAAGAAATACACAGATGCCCAAGATAAGGTCTTTTTGCTCAAAACAAATGAGTTTGCAACAGTGATAGGAGCACAGGAGATGCTCAGTAAAAATGAGCTCTTTCCTCCCACACTGGATCTTTAGAAACTAAGAGCTGACCAGTCAAGCTACATAAATATAGTACACACTGAAATGGGCAACAGAAAATTTGGTATGTGGATCTTGCATGTACATTAAGAGAAGCAATGTACAAATAGAGAGTAAAAGCAATTGTTTAGGAGATGTTACATGGCATATAAATATCTTGATAGTTTAGTACAAAACTAAGCCTAATCATATATTTAGTAAAGTACACACAAAAAAGGTAAATACAATATGATAGTGTCAGGCAAAATTTTAAATCATTTATATACACATATACACATTTATTTATACATATACAACTGGATAAAAAGGTTATAATAATTTATGAAAATGACCATATCAGAAAGAATTGGGGGGAACAGGTGTTGAGGCACGGCAGGTTAAGCAACAACCATGTCCCAGCTTATTCAGCTCCCAATCCAGCTCCCTGCAAATGTACCTAGGAAGGAAGGGGCAGATGACGGTCCAAGTGCTTAGCCTCCTGTGGCAGACCTGGAGCAGTTCCTGACTCCAGCCTGGCCAAGTCTCAGCTACTGTGGCCAGCTGGGGAGTGAACCAGCAGATGGACGATAGCACATTCTCTCTGCAATTCTGCCTTTCAAATAAATAAAACTTAAGGAAGGAAGAATGGTACTAAGATAAAGGATACACATGAGTATCAAACTTATCTGTAGTATTTCATCTACTTTTTCATTAGAGAGAGAGAGATCTTTCATTAGCTGGTTCATTCCTCAAATGCTCAGAACAGCTTGGGCCTGAGCCATGCTGAAAAAACCAGGAACTCCAGGTGTCCCAAGTGGGTTCCAGGGGTCAAGCACTTGAGCCACTACCTACTATCTCCCAGGGTTCTCACCAGTAGGAACCTGGAATTGGGAGTGGAGCTGGGACTTGAACCCAGGTACCCTACATGGGATGTGGGCATCCCAAACACTATGCCAAATACCTGCCCCTCATTTACTGTAGAAAAAAGCATAAAGTAAATGTGATAAAATTCTGGATGAAGAATACATGGATGCTTGCTATTATTCACTGCATTTGTTATTTAAATTTTTTGCAGTGGGGCTTGGGACACAGCAGGTTTAAGCCCCTGCTTGCCATGTTGGCATCCCATATTGGAGTGCTGGTTCAAGTATTGGTTTCTCTCCTTCCAATTCAACCTCCTGCTTATGTGCCTCAAAAGGCAGCAGAAGATGGCCAAGAACTTGGGCCCAAGGGGCCGGCGCTGTGGTGCTGTGGGTAACATCCTGGCCTGAAGCATCAGCATCCCTTATGGACGCCGGTTTAAGACACGGCTGCTCGACTTCCGATCCAGCTCTCCGCTGTGGCCTGGGAAAGCAGTGGAGGATGGCCCATGTCCTTGGGCCCCTGCACCCATGTGGGAGACCTGGAAGAAGCTTTTAAAAAAAAAAAAAAAAAGGGACTTGGGCCCCTGCTACCTACTTGAGAGACCAGGAGATGGAGTTCCTGGCTCCCAGCCTTGGCCTGTCCCAGGCCTGGCTTGTCGCAACCATTTGGATAGTGAATCAGTAGATGGAAGCACTCTTTCTCCCTGTCCTTCAAATACAATCTTTTAAAAAGAATTTCAAAATTTTTAAATAAATGCTAGAACAAATAAATACAACCTAACCATTGTACTACAAACTACTAAGAGTATTCTTTGGTGCATTGTATACAACTGCAGTGTAGCTATTAAAACAGCCCAATGTGTTACGAGATTTTATCAATAGTGGGTCTCTACTTCAAGGAAAGTGATATTCCCAATCATCTCTCTACTGTAAGACCACATTTGCTATACTGTGTCCAGTGCTGGGGGCTAAAAAGTATTGGGAGATGTCTAGGATAGGAAAAATTTTAAAGCCTGTCCTAAAAGTGATATAATTAAAGTAATAGGGACTCTTTAGTCAGAAGAAAAATTCTAAGGGTTGAACCTGGAACTCCCTCATCCATCCCCAATTATCAATGTCTCCAAGTCCATACCAGCAGCTTTCATGTCTTCCCCCAACCTCTAGCCCTTTCCACTGCAAAAGAGGCCCTTTCTCTGTGCTCCAGATCCCATTCCCTCATACACATTTAGGAATTTTGCTCCATTTCTTTGCAGTTTCTCAGAGTTTTATTTTCAGCATATGCTTACTATGCATACTCTCCCTGGACATCTCACGTACTGCCATAGCTCAAGACTCAGAAATCTTTATCTTTAGCCCCAGATCATCCAATGGAGCATTACTGACCCACATGCACAAGCAACGTTCTTACTCCCTGATTATATGGGTCACTAAAAGAAGAGGATGCCTATTGAGCTGACCCTTTCCAAGTCTAAGGCTTGGTTTATCAATACCTGGTAACTCAAAATGGTCAAAACAATGAATTGTTTCCCAAAAGAACTGGACAGGAACTGGGGCCATGGGAGTAAGAGAGAAACATACAGAACAGAGTTACCAATGAGGTGACTATGGCACAAAGGCAAAGGGCTGGCAGTCTTTTTATTATCACTAGGGCCAGCTCTCCAATGTCAAGCTAAGGGATAGAAGGAGCGAATAAGAACTCACTTGCCGGCGCCGCGGCTCACTAGGCTAATCCTCCGCCTTGTGGCGCCGGCACACCGGATTCTAGTACCGGTTGGGGCGCCGGATTCTGTCCCGGTTGCCCCTCTTCCAGGCCAGCTCTCTGCTGTGGCCAGGGAGTGCAGTGGAGGATGGCCCAGGTACTTGGGCTCTGCACCCCATGGGAGACCAGGAAAAGTACCTGGCTCCTGCCATCGGATCAGCGCAGTGCGCCGGCTGCAGCACACCGGCTGCGGCGGCCATTGGAGGGTGAACCAATGGCAAAGGAAGACCTTTCTCTCTGTCTCTCTCTCTCACTGTCCACTCTGCCTGTCAAAAAAAAAAAAAAAAGAACTCACTTAAGAGAAATTACATTTGTGATGGGGGTGGCTATGTATCTGAGGGTACAGGGGACGAGGGAGAGCATGGATCTATCAACAGCTGCTAGAACTAATTCTCATGAATGCTGCGGGCCAGCTGACTGCACCAGGGCACACGTCTCTGTTATCCTTGTCACCACCTGTAGTCAGCCACAATACTCTTCCTCAGCCCCAGCATACACTGACCCCACTCCCCACCCAGAGAGAATGAGAAGCCATCACTTTAAAAGACCACAAGAACCACCAAACTGTACACTTCAAGTAGGTGAGTTCTGCAGTATTTTAAACATATTTCAATAACATATTTTTGTTTTTTGTGAAGACTGCAGGGGAGTGGCCTATGATTTCTCCACTTACTTATTCATTCCTTGAAGCCATTACTCCCTAACCTGTTTCCTTAAACCATTTGACTATATCACCTTCCTCACTGATGCCACCCACACCCAGACCTTCAACCATGGTGACACAGAGGCCCTTACAATTCCGGTTCATCTACTTCACTTGGAAAAGACTGAAATAAATTCTGTGCACAAGGAGGACAGCTCAGAGGACTAGTGAAACAAGGTGCTCTTTTTTTGTTCTCAATCAGGAACACATGTTTTGAAGCTCATATCTGATTTGATCCCAACTCTGACACTTTTGATCATACGCAAACTTTGGACAAATTACTTAATCTCTTTGAGCCTCAGACTCCTGCAAATGGAAATATCACCACCTACTCACTATAAAGATGAAACAAGAGAAGAAAAATTAGGTACTTAAGTACAATGTTGGCATAAACACTATAGTTATGACTATTACTATTTATTACCAATGATAATAACTACTGAAGAATAAATAAAGTTTCCCTTAGGAGATTCATGCCCCAAAATCATCATCTCTGCCACAGATCCAACCCCTTATCGAAGTCTCATAGCCACAGATTGACAGAAACAGGTAAAAGTCTGAGCCAGAACGCTCAGGCAGGTAGAGTCAACACAGAAAGCCAAACTACTGGTCAATCTTAGCCCTTGGGAGATGGGGGGAGGCAGCTCTAGGGTCCTTCCCTCCCTTCCACCCCGACACCCAACCCTCCTTACTTGAGCACCTCTTCTCGACATTGTTTTTGGGGTGCGAAGCAGGCGATGGCCCAGACTTTGATCTCAATGCCATTGTAGAACTGTTTCCCCCGCATGTCCCAGACACCCTGATTGGGTGTGGCAATGGCCCGGTTCTAGAGATAGGCAGAGGGGGCGTCCAGGTGAGCCTCAGTAGAGTCAGGTAGGTAGGGGAACAAAATCCCCTGGCTGTACAACCCAACCACCCATATAGGCCCCAGAGATGTTGTCTGGCCCTGACCCTGCTCACCCGGCCGCCGTACTGCAAGATGGGCGCCGGCAGCACTCGCCCTGTCACCTCCGTCATGTCATCCTTCACTTTGATCCCAAATTCCTGGATGTAGGGATCTAGGTTGTAGCTGGCATTCTTCATCTGCAGGGCAAAAGAACGGGATCTCAGAAGAGCAGCAGTTTGGTAATACTGCTCTCCCGCTGGGTTTCCAAAGAGAGAGCCCTGAAGAGAAGATAGGGCTGGCAAGGAAGAGCCCTAAAAAAGTGGGAGAAGTAATACAGAAGGAGAGAGGAGATAGGAAACAAAGTAGCTCCAGGGTCAGGAGGCAAGAGCAGCCCTGTGGAGTCCCAGGCAACAACTCCAGACTTGGGTCACCTACTGGAGGGTCCTACTGGGGCATAACAGCAGGTTTGCTAGCAAGGGCTCTAAGGACTGAGGAAGCGAGCATGCATTTCTGTGCAGTCCCACTGACCAGGCGACTGATCTCCTCCTGTCTGTCTGGGGCCGACCTAGCCGTAGCCTTTATCATGGTCGAAGTCTGGTTGTCAGTCAGTTTCTTAATGCAGCGCTGCCCAGCCACAATGTTACAGACCTGAGGAAAGGAAAAGGACAGGTAGCTCTGGCTTGAGTACAGTCCATTCTGTATCCAGAGTCCCACAGTAAGGAAACAGACCTTGGCTATCAGCCATGGGAAGGGGACTGCAAAATTCCTTGTGCACACATATACTCTCCTTTGAGTTTTACTTGACGGATACTTTAGAAAATAATAATGTACAATGCAAAAGGTAATACAACCACTTTATGATTAAAGCTGAAATCCAGAACCATATCTGGACTCAGGTCACATATGTTAAATAAAAACAGTAACAATTTTATAGAGTTGTCGAGATCAAATAAAATTAAGCACTTAAGGGAAGGACAATAGTTCTGGGACATAGTAAACACTTAACTTGTAGCATACAATTATTATTTACCAAAGGACCAAGTATGGAGCTCTCTTGAATACTGAAAAACTCAATATACACAAGTTAGATTCCTAAGGCAACTCTCTCCAGTGGTAGCAGTTAGTTGTTCCATCCTGCAACCCACCAGGAAGACCACAGATGGTTCTAAACTCTTGAGCCCCATTCTACAGTCAGTCACTGAGTATCCAGACTATAGAAATCACTGTCTTCGTTAGCTTACATTGTCTTGTGTTGGTGTGAGGAACATCCTGCCATTCAAGGCTATCTAGTCACAGAATACTTCTATTCCTCAAGATACTATATTCAGGATGTCATGAACAGGAAGGCTTGTAGTAGAAAAGAGAGCCGGTAGATTTTTGGAAGATTTGTGCATGAAGTTCAGCTTTGCCATTACTAGGTGAGGTTACCTTGGGCAGCTCTCAATCTCTCTGAGACTCAGCTTCTTTAATTTCAGATATGGGAAACAACATAAGCTGTCTCAAGAAGTTGTTGTGGGGCTTCCGCTGTGGTGTAGTGGGCTAAGCCTCCACCTGCAGTGCTGGCATCCTATATGGGCGCTGGTTTGTGTCCTGGCTGCTCCACTTCCCATCCAGCTCTCTGCTTACAGTCTGGGAAAGCAGTAGAGGATGGCCCAAGCGCTTGGGCCCCTAAACCCATGTGAAGACCCAGAAAAAGTTCCTGGTTCCTGGCTTTGGATCGGCTCAACTCTGGCTGTCGTGGCCATTTGGGGAGTGAACCAGCAGATGGAAGACCTTTCTCTCTGTCTCTTTTTGTAACTCCTCCTCTCAAATAAATAAAGAAATCTTAAAAAAAAAAAAAGTTGTTGTAAGTATTTAAATGAGATGAAATCTATTACTTATTCTCACAGGGCTAAGATTCTGTTAAGTACTGGTTCTCTTTCTAATTTCCAGAGTTAATTCTAAACAATGGAAGGAAAAACAGGCAAAGGTCATCTGCCTTTAAATTCCATATTCCAGATAATACATAAAATAGCCAATTAGCAAAAACCAAGAATTGTTTAAATTTGTGAAGCTACTCTCTTAAAGGTACCTGAAAGTTGTAATACTGTCTACAGTTGGTTACAACTACAGAATTGACATTTGGGAAAGACTAACATAGGGATGTATTGAAATCAGAAACCTTACATATTGCTGACGGGAATGTAAAATGGTACAGCCACTATGGAAAATGATATGGAGATTCAAAAAAATGAAACAGCATTACCATATAAACTAGCAATTCTACTTCTGGTCATGTACTCAAAAGAAATGAAAGCAGGGACCTGAACAAATATTTATACACCTTCATCCATAGCAGCATTATTCACAACAGTCAAAACCCAGAACCCAAGCGTTCATTAATGGATGAATGGATACATCAAATGTGCTATATACACACAGTGGAATATTATTCAGCCTTAAAAAGGAAGAGGATTCTAACTTGTTACAACATGGATAAACCTTGAAGACATTATACTAAATGAAATCAGTCAGTCAAGAAAGGACAAATATTGTATGAGAATGGAGAGTTGTCATTTAATGGCTATTACAGAATTTCAGCTTGAGATGATACATAAGTTCTGGAGATGGATGATGGTAATGGCTGTACAACAGTGAAAACTGACTTAATGTCATAGAACTGTATACTTAAAAATGGTTAAAAAGGTAAATTTAATGTAAAATGTTTTTGATTAAAATGGTAAATTTTACTATAATCTGAAAAAAAGGACTAAAGCAGGAATGAACCACAATTTGAACATGAACAAAAGCTTTTGGTGATACTTTTGCTGGCCTAGATAACTGTTTAAGGAAGACATAAATGTAGACTGGAAGCACTGGCTATTTCTAGTCTTTAGCTGTAGAGATTCAAATAATCCATATTGTTCTCCTTAAAATCTTCGAATGGATCCCTGTTATAATCAGAATAAAATTCCACCTGGACAGTAATTGGAATGCTTATTCATTGTTGATGGGATTGTAAAATGGCATCGCCACGGCAGCTCCTCCAGATGATAAACACAGTTATGTATGATGTATGATTTCATTCTTGAGTATATACCCAACAAAATGAAAACATGCTCACACAGACACACGTGTATGAATCTTCACAGCAGCATTACTCATAATAGCCAAAAAGTGGAGACAACTCAAATGTCAATCAACTGATGAATGAACAAAATATGATCTATCTAGGGGCCAGTGTTGTGGCACAGTGGGTTAAGCTACTACCTGCAACACCAGTATCCCATATGAACGTCAGTTCAAGTCCCAGCTGTTCCACTTCGGACCCACTCCCTGTTAATGCTCCTGGGAAAGCAGCAGAAGATGGACTGAGAATATGGGCCTTTGACACCCATGTGGGAGAACACGGATGGAGTTCTAGGCTCCTGGCTTTGGCCTGGCCCAGCCTTAGTCATTATGACCACTGACCTGAGAAGTGAACCTGCAGATGGAAGACATTCTTTCTCTCTCTTTTTTTTTTTTTTCTCCCTTTTTTTCTGTAACTCTGCCTTTCAAAAAAAAAAAAAAAAAAAAGTGATACATCTATACAATGGAACAATATGGATGAAACTTAAAAACATGCTAAATGAAAGAAGCCAGCCACAAAAGGCCACATGTTACATTATTCTATTTACATTATATGCCAGAAGAGGTGAATAGATGAAAACAAAAAGTAAATTAGTAGTTACTAAGGGAATGGCAAGTGACTGATAATAAGTATGATTTTATGGAGGTGATGAAAATATTTTGGAAATAGATGGTGGTGATAGTTGTATAAGTCTATGAACATATGAATTGCATATTTAAGAGAATAAATTTTATGGCATGTGAATGGTATCTTGGTACTGTCTTTTTTTTTTTTTTTTTTTTTGGACAGGCAGAATTAGACAGTGAGAAAGAGAAAGGTCTTCCTTCTGTTGGTTCACCCCCCAAATGGCTGCTACGGACAGTGTACCGCGCCGATCCGAAACCAGGAACCAGGTGCTTCCTCCTGGTCTCCCATGTGGATGCAGTGCCCAAGCACTTGGGCCATCCTCCACTGCCTTCCTGGGCCACAGCAGAGAGCTAGACTGGAAGAGGAGCAGCCGGGTCAGAATCCGGTGCCCCAACTGGACTAGAACCTGGGGTGCTGGCGCCACAGGCGGAGGATCAGCCAAGTGAGCCACGGCGCCGGCTGGTACTCTCATTCTTAAAAAAAAAAAAAAAAAAAAAAAAAAAAAAAAAAAAAAACCACCTGGCTATAACAGCTTATGTGATTTAAACCTACATCTCCATCCTCTTTTTTTTTAAGCATCATCTTCCTACTTTTCCCCTCATATAATACATTTGAGACACCAAGGCCCTCTATCTATCCCTGATTTAAACCCCTTGGATTTGTTATTCCTCCTACAAGGAAAGTTCTTCCCTCAGGTTGTTATAGGTTGGTAACCAGAATTTGGGGCCAGCTTAAATGTCTCCCAAAAGAGATCTTGCTTGACAACAAAAATTTAAGTAGTTCTCTATCCCCTTTACCAGTTTTATTATTCTTAATGCACTTATCACCCTCTGAAAGTATGTTATGTGTTTATCAATTAAAATTGTCTTCTAGGATGACAGCTAAGACTTTTATTTCCATATTCCTGGAACCTAAAAAGAATATTTGACCCATAGTAGGAGCCCAATAAATGTTTGTTAAATAAACAATAAAATTCAAGATCTAAGCCATTACATGAATTATTCACCTTGTAAACCATTGTTTAAACAGAAATAACGTTAATTGGCTAGCAAATCTCAGTTTGCAGTAGATACCATCTAGTATTTACTTAGCTGGGATCATCCCTAAAGGCTTCTGTTGATACTTCAGAGAATATACTGCCTTCCTCCCACTGTCTGTGCATCAACAGCTATTAAACAAGTCAAGAGTTCTCGACTATGGGGAACTCCTCTCTCTCAGCCTCACTCCCTCAGATTCATTCTGACAGCCTAGAAACGCACAGAAAGCTTGAGCTTTAGGACAAGCCACCTGACTCCTGCTACTGAAATAAAGACAATCCAGGCTAGTGCTTCTCTAATTGGTAAATGTGCATCTGAGTTCACTTTGGATCTCGTTAAAAGATAGAGTCTGACTCATAGATATGGGTAGAGCCTGAGATTCTGCATTTTAAACAAGCTTCCAGGTGATGTCTGTTGGTATCCTGACACTTTTTTGAATAGCACAGAACTAGCCAATAGAGCAATCAGCAGTAGCTTCTCTTTAGACATTGCAGTTACCATATGTAAAACCAAATACAGACCAATGATTCTGCATTTGTATTGTATGACTTAAAAAACATTACTATTCTTTCATAGCAGAATTTCAAAGTCTTCTGAAATATAATAGTATGACAAATCTTGGAGTTAAAACTTTTTTAAAAGGAACACATTAATCCCAGGGGAAATAGAATTTACATTATATGTAACGTCTTCTCCATTTTCTATAGAATCAAATACACCTGTATCTCAGATCACTTAGGATGCCCAGTTCCAGAGAGCAGGAAAAGAGAAAGCAAGAGAAGATAAGCGTGGTATCTGAAACCTCTGAATGAATACTTATTTATTAAACACTAAATACAGCTTGTACTTCTGCCTGGCAGTTCTGAAAAGATGAGTAGTATAGGGGATAAGAAAGGAATTCAGTAGGTAAGAATGAGGCCTATATTTCATAGGAAAACTACCTTACACCTTCTCAGAATGCCAAGTTTCCTAAATTTAAAGTGCGAATGACAAACTACCAATGGAAAACAGACCTCTGATGACCAGAGTTCAGGTACAATGCCTGTTCTCCAGCCCAGCCGGTACTTGGCAATCTCACCTCTAGGGGCAGGTAGGTATGCTTTTGTTCCTGGCCAACTTGCAGGCAGGGCAGATGGGGATACTTGAGCTGAAGGTTGTATTTCTGCTTGAAATACTGTGCCACTGTACACTCCACAGTCTGTCCACTCTCCAGCTGCAAGGGAAACCTATTTGGAAGAAGGGAAGGGCAGTGTCACAACCCAGCATTCAATCCAAACTCTCTAGATTTACAGCTGTGGGAAGCCTCACACTATGCTCCGTCATCCTACCCGACATCTTTGAGCATTGCTACTCACGGGAAAGCAGGTAACACATGGCTCCAAAGAAGAAGCCAAAGACTTGAGAGGCAAGTCAAAGATCAGAACCATATCGGATTAATCTGTATTTCTAATGTTGAGCTTAAAGCCTGACACACAGTGGGTACTCCTAGTCCAGCGTGACCTGAAGTGAAAAATGGGAATGGAATCACTGCCAATTTTTCCAAGATTAAGCCGAGGAGCTTGGCTTCCTTTTTCTGGGAGGAAGAACCAAATGAGAGGGATTCTAACACTTACAGTAGCACAACAGGAACCCGCAATGAGCTTGCTCTACAGAAAAGGCCCAAGAAGGAAAGAAAGTGATCTAAAAGGCATCAACAGATCTGGGAAGGCATGGGCAGGGTGAAGGATTCCCACAGCTCATCTTCAAAACAAGGCCAGCCTTGGCTCACCTGGGGGCAAGGGGGTGGATGTAGGGAGTAAGGAACATGTGTCTGAAAATCTCAGCCCTCGTTCATGGACATTACCCCTGTCAACTTACGTCTGATGGCTAGCAGGACGGCGGGTAACATTACACACGCGGTATTTCCTCTTCATCTGTCCACAGTGGGTCACTTCCACCTTCAGGCCTGAGACACACACACTGCTTGTCAGGGTTAGAATCGCTTGCTCGTGTGCCCAGGCTTGGTCTTTCCCCTGAACATATCCCAAGGGGATTTCCTTTTAGGACTAAAGAGAAAGCAGCAACGCTTCCCCTCCCCGGCTGGCTGGGTCCTCACCCTTGATCTCCTTGGTGAAGCGAACACGCTGAGAGTCCGTGAGGGGCTTGGGCTGCTCGTCTATGTTCCTGATGTCCAGCACCTCACACATGAACTCGATCACTGGCTGTGCCTTGTAGAAAGCAGTGGCTGAGACTGTGGGGACAGGGTAAGGATGGCTCAGCTCAGGCCCTGTCTTCCAGAATAAATGGAGCCACTAAAATTTACACCCTTTTCCTTATAGGGTATTGGGATGGGGGGCAAGGGGTGCCAGGGCTGTTGGATTAGACTAGGATTGTGGTAGTAGAACTGGGAGGGATGAGGCTGGGAGTGTGGTTACTGGACTTGGGGTGCCCCTGGCTCCATACTCTCCCCACTCACCATCAATGTTGAGCATCATCTTCCACATGGCTGGGCGCACAGACTGGTGAAAGCCGAACCAGACCTCGCGCCCACCCCCCAGCGGGTGGTAGTAGCCCTCAGGCGGTGAGAAGAAGGAGCGGCCCACAGGGGTGTACCTGGCAGGGACAGGCAGAGAACTGGTCCCTCGGGCACAGGCCCCCACCCTGTGAGGCATCCTGGGCACGGAGGAGCCCTGGCCTGGAAGGCAGGACACCAGGGCTTTAATGCCAGCTCTGATCCTTTACTAGTTATATGACTGACCTTGTGCAAATCTCTACTTTTTCTCTGCCCTGCAGGGACAGATGGGGTGAGGTCCAAAGATATCTAAGGACAGGGCCAGGGCTTTAAACTATGTAAACACAGATGTATACTTGCCTGGCAAACAGTAGGACTTTAAGTAATTTTTTTCCTTGAATGGCACACTGTGGGACCCTATTATGCATTCCTTCCCCTCCTCCCCCAACAGCACTTCTGCCAACACCAGTAGCCCAGATACTAACTATACCCAGTACCTCATAGATGCCAGATGTCTCATGGCCACATCCAGGGCTTGCACAGACTCCAGGGGAACCGGGATCTGGCCACTGACCAAGGCCTCATGCAGCATGCGCCAGCTCACAATGGCTAGCCACTTGATGGAGACCTTAAAGATTCGATCCTTTCCTTCCCCAGGGATTGTCACCTCAAAGTCGACCTTCAGGAGAGTAAGAGAAGTGAAGGACTGCCAACACCTTGCCACAGACCAGCGTTCTCTGCCCCAACTATGCCCGTTCCGTGGATTTGCCAACTATGGATTTGCTCCACAGTTGATGGGGCACACAAGGAAGAACACACAGTTTAGCCCCTTAGTTTCCAGTCATCTTGGCTCAGTGCTTCTGTCCCTCTCAGCTATCAGGAAATCCTCTAGGTCTATTTTAAGTCAATCTCAGTCTGTTGATGAAATTAAACAGCATGCCGGCTCAGGTGACCTGTGCCCAGAGGAAGTGGGCAGCAGGATCCCAGACAGGTGGAGCCCAAAGTAGGCAGAGGGCTAGAAAGTCCAGGCTTAGGGAGGCCACGGCCCCGTTTCCTGGTCAGGACTCTCGTAGGACCCTCAGACACCTGAGTGCACACTCGGGGTGGGGCTGACATTGTGTGTGCACCCGCGTGTGTACATGTGTGTGTTTGGCTCTGTCTGTGCATGCCTTGAGCAGAGGTGACCTGTGATTCTCTCTAAAAAAAAAAAATAATAATAAAATTAAACAGCATGTACCCACCCATGATTAAAACACACTTTCGCAGCACAAAAGAAGAAAAGGATCTTTGGACTACCAGGCTCCAGATGGGTTTATGTGAGCATTATTCTACCCCAGACTCCTGACACAGGCCTTGCCTGACTCCCAGCCTTACCCGTTCGTTGCCAATGGGCAGTGCTGTGACAGTATAAATGTTCTTCTTTCCATCATACACGGGCTTGCGATCACCAAAGATCTGAGGCTTGAAATGCTGGACCATGTATTCCACCACTTCCCTGTGGGGGATAGGAGTGGCCTGTAGAAGCTGAGAGACTACCACTTCAAGATTTTGGAAGGAACCCAATGTCCAGGCAATGTCCCATCTAGTATATTTGCTCCTAACATCTACTCTGACGGTATTCTCAAACTTCAACATTGCTCTGAAACAACTACAGACCGTTAAAATGCAGATTCTGACCTGGCAGGTCTACAGCACAACCTGAAATTCATGTTTCTAACATGCTACCAGGTACTACTGCTGATCCTTAGTTCACCAAGGCTCTAACAGACCTAACAGAGTGGGTAAGGGTGCCTTATGAGAAGAGAAGGAGGTTGAGGACAGATGGGCTTGATCCCAAGGTCTATCCAGAATACAGGCTGCCCCAGTCCCAGTTTGATAAGCAAACACGGTAGAAAGGGAAGAAACCTGAGTTGAATACAAATAAATTGTGGAAGACCTTCATCTCTTCCACCTCTCTAAAGCCCCTAGTTCTCCAATCCTGTTTTCTTTCTATTAACCATCTCCTGTCTTGGTTTCACTTCCTGTCCTCATCACATAGGTCCCAGCCCTTCCAAACACATGACCTCTCCCCATTCTGAACCAAAGTTTTTGAGTACTACTAGTTAAAAACACTCAAGGTGGGGGCCGGCGCTGTGGTGTAGTGGGTAAAGCTGCTGCCTACAGTGGCAGCATCCCATATGGGCACTGGTTCAAGTCCCCGCTGCTCCACTTCTGATCCAGCTCTCTGCTATGGCTGGGAAAGCAGTAGAAGACGGCCAAAGTGCTTGAGCCCCTGCATCCAGCCGTTGCGGCCAATTAGGGAGTGAACCAGCAGATGGAAGACCTCTCTCTCTCTCTCTCTGCCTCTCCTCTCCCTGTGTTAACTCTTTCAAATACATAAATATTAAATAAATAAATAAATAAATAACATTCAAGGGGCCGGCACTGTGGCATAGCAAGTAATGCCTGCAGTGTCGGCATCCCATATGAATGCTGATTCGAGTCCTGGCTGCTCTACTTCCGATCCAGCTTTCTACTATGGCCTGGGAAAGCAACAGAAGATGGCCCAAGTCCTCGGGCTCTTGTTCTGCATGGGAGACCCAGGGGAAGCTCCTAGCTCCCGGCTTTGGATCAGGGCAGTTCTAGCTGTTGCAGCCATTTAGGGAGTGAACCATCGGATGGAAGCGCATGCGTACTCTCTCTTTCTGCCTCTGCCTTTCTGTAACTCCTTCAAATAAATAAAATAAATGTTTCAAAAAATTAAAACACTCAAAATGGTGCACTGGAACAACCATGGTACATGATTTCAATCCCAATTAGGCTTGTGCTGCCTAGCAATCTTTATCATATGCCTGATTATTCCCTTACAGACTATGCTAAACCTGGGTTTCAACCATCCTTTAACTCCAGAAACCATTCTTGGGGCTGGCTCTATGGCATAGCAGGCAAAGCCATCACCTGCAGTGCCAGCATTTTATATGGGCACCGGTTCAAGTCCCGGATGCTCCACTTCTGATCCAGCTCCTTTTTAATGTGCCTGGGAAAGCAGTGGAAGATGAACCAGGTCCCTGGGCCCCTGTACCCACATGGGAGACTCAAAAGAAGCTCCAGGCTCCTGGCTTCGGATCAGCTCAGCTTTGGCCATTGCAGCCATTTGGGGAATGAACCAGCAGATGAAAGACACCCCCCCTCTATATTATTATATAATATTATTATTAATCATATATCATATATGCTATAATAAAAATATATCATATAATAACATATATGTTATATTATATGTAATATAATATATTATATATAATTGTGTATTATAATATATAATAATATATTATTATAATCTTCGCCCCCTCCCTCTCTGCCTCTGCTTCTCTGTAACTCTGCCTTTCAAATAAATAAAAAAATAAATAAATCTTAAAAAGACGAGGAGGAGGAGGAGGAAGAAGAAATTATTCTTGCCTACTAATATCCCTGAAGACTAGAGGACAGCAGCCAAGCCACCCTCAAATCCCGAGACCTACATACAAACATATTTACTTACACATGAATGTTTTTTCACTCCCTTGAAGTGCCCCTTCTATATATAATTGTTAACATATGAAAATATATTGTTTCTCACCAGAGATTAGCAATTTAAAATTAAACTGTTTATCAGAATGACAAAGATGAAAAAAATCTGATATGTAGGATTGATGCAGGTAGGTGAAATGGTCACTATGACAACTTGCTTATGGGAATATAAATTGGTCCAACTTACTTTTTGAAAACTGACACTATCTTAAACTTGAAAATGTACTGAGCCAGCAATTCCACTCCCAGAAATGTATCCTTCAGGAACACTCATATGAGTGCAAAAATGTATCTGCATATAATAATATTCAACATAGTTTCATTTTTATAGAAGTCTAGACCCAACCTAAATGGGCCTTAATAGATTTATTAAATGAGTTGCAAACAAAGCCATTCAGTGGAACTCCTATAGAGAGTCATGCAGAAAGAATGACAGACCCGTGTGAACTGATATGCCAAGGAACTGCAAAAAAAATTATTTTCATTTTTATTTAAAAGACAGACATAGACAAAAACCAATTTTCCATTCTCTGGTTAACTTCCCAAATTCCTGTAATGGCCAGGCCAAAGCTAAGTACCCAGAACTCAACTTGGGTCTCCTACTTGGATGGCAGGGACCCATGTACTTGAACCATAATCTGCTACCTTGCAGAGTGCATTAGCATTAGCAGGAAGCTGGATGTAAAGCTAAAGAGCTAGGACTTGAACTAAACACTTCAACATGGGAAGCAGGCATCCTAAGCAGCATCTTAACCATGGTGCCAAATGCCCACTCAAGACCTATATTTTGCCGGTGCTGTGGGTAAATGGGTAAAGCTGCCACCTGCAGTGCCGGCATCCCATATGGGCGGCGGTTCAAGTCCCAGCTGCTCCACTTCCAGTCCATCTCTCTGCTATGGTCTGGGAAAGCAGTAGAAGATGGCCCAAGTCCTTGGACCCCTGCACCTGCATGGGAGACTCAGAAGCTCTTGTCTCCTGGCTTTGGATAGGCTCAGCTCCGGCCATTGTGGCCAACTTGGGAGTGAACCAGCAGATGGAAAACCTCTCTCTCTCTCTCTCTCTCTCTCTCTCTCTCTTTCTCTCTCTGTCTCTCCTTCTCTCTCTGTGTAACTCTGTCTTTCAAATAAACAAATAAATCTTAAAAAAAAAAACACCCTATATTTTGTGCATTTAAACAATCATTATCTGAAGTAGGTTTTAGTCTAGCAGTTAAAGACACCTGTGTCACATACAGAAGTACCTGGGTTTAATTTTGAGCTCTGGCTCCTGACTCCAGCTCAAGTAACTGGATTCTTACCACTCTGGATTGAGTTCCCAGCCTCTAGCTCCTGTCTCGATCCAGCCTTGGCCTTCACACACATTTGGGAAATGAACCAGCAGATGGGAGTTCTCCATCTTCCTCTTAAGTTAAAAAATGTTTTTAAATATTATATATGATTTGGGGAGTGAACAAACAAAAGGAAGACCTTTCTCTCTGTCTCTTTCTTTCACTATCTATAACTCTACCTGTCAAATACAAAATTATTAAAAAAAATTATATATGCATGTATGTTTGTATATGCACAGAAAAATCTGACAGCACTAAGGAATGGTAACGAATAATGACTCTGGGGGAAGGAACTGAGAGATGGGAACCAAGGTAATAAGGAGACACTCTTCATTGCCACTCTTTTTGTAAAACTAAAAAATTTTAAGTACTGTACATACAGTCTTTTTTTTTTTTTGGCAGGCAGAGTGGACAGTGAGAGAGAGAGACAGAGAGAAAGGTCTTCCTTTTGCTGTTGGTTCACCCTCCAGTGGCCGCTGTGGCCGGCACATCGCGCTGATCCGAAGCCAGGAGCCAGGAGCTTCTCCTGGTCTCCCATGCGGGTGCAGAGCCCAAGGACTTGGGCCATCCTCCACTGCACTCCCTGGCCACAGCAGAGAGCTGGCCTGGAAGAGGGGCAACCGGTACAGAATCCGGCGCCTCGACCGGAACTAGAACCTGGTGTGCAGGCGCCGCAAGGCGAAGGATTAGCCTACTGAGCCATGGCGCCAGCCTATACATACAGTCTTAACAGGTTAATTTTAGAAGGAAATATTATTTCTTCTGCTTAAGGCTAATCTCTTCGACTGTGCATCCTGCAACATACGCATGCCTCAGCAAGGACAATTCATCTGGTGCTCCCCTTTATTCTATAACTTTAAACTTCTCCACTAGTCCCTTCTCCTCAACCCACAAACTATCCATGTCTTATTCTTAAACTTGTACATTCATTCATTTCAACATGTTGAAATATGCTAGGCACTACACGTGGCCTTTATAGTCTTCTCTAGTCAACATATTTTCTCTCTCCAGTGGACTGCTAAGTTACCTGGAAAAAAAGCTATCTGCTCTCACTGCTCCAACCACATTACCATCCCTTATTCATTACCTCACTATAGTTAGATTAGTCCAACTACTCTACTGAAATTGCTCTGACAAAAACCAGTTGTCTTTTTTTTTAAGAATTATTTTATTTTATTTGAAACACAGAGTTACAGAGAGAAGTAGACCCAGAGAGGTCTTCCATTCCACTGGTTCACTCCCCAAATGACCACGACCAGAGCTGAGCTGATCCAAAGCCAGGAGCTTCTTCCAGGTCTCCCATGCAGGTGCAGGGGCCCAAGGACTTGGGCCATCTTCTACTGCTTTCCCAGGCCACAGCAGAGAGCTGGATTGGAAATGGAGCAGCTGGGATTTGAACTGGTGCCCTGTGGAATGCCAGTGCTGCAGGCTGGGGCTTTAACCAACTGCACCACAGTGCTGGCTCCCCAACTGTCTTCTAATAGTTATACGTAATGATTTATTTTTGCACTTATCTTCCTGGCATCTCCTCCTCAAAAACTTTCTTGGATTTGGTGATACTATCCCCTACTGGTTTTTGTTGTACTTTTCTCGTCCCTCTTTCAAGGTTCTGAGACTTCTGGGCTTAGTGGCTTAAAGGTGTATCACTTACCTGTTAACTCTGCGAGGACACTTATCGGGCTTGATGTCCACCTCGTAGTGGTAGACGTCGATCTTAGGTATGTCCACCTCAAAGTAATTGGCCAGGAGCTTGATTGGCTTCCCCACAGTGCCAATGCCAGGCCGGCGAGGTGCTTGGAACACCTGCTGCAGGGGGGGCAGGTAGGCACCTGCAGCTACAAGACAAAGAGGCTAGTAAGGGTAGAGTCTGGCATTCTCCTAACTACTCTAATCAGAGAAGGCATGAGGTCTCCTAGTTCTAGGAGTGGGAAAGAACAGGGAAAGCCTCTTTCCTGCTATTCAACACACTGAGGGCTTCCACTAACTCACACATCCCAGGCTCACTCTTTTTTTGTGGTTTGTTTTTTAAATCTCTCTCCATTTAGGGAAATTATCCTTATTATCTACCACAAATTTTTCAAGTGAATAAATAAGCTACTATTAGAGGTTAAGCAGAGGGGCTACATATGGGTACCGGTAACGAAACTCTTTATTCCTTCTATTGATTTAAGATGTCTACCTCCACCAGGGATCTAGCACACCAAGAATGCCCTGCTCTCTGCCAGCCAGATGGTCACATCACACATCATCATCCTGAAGATAAAATGGAGGCAGGAGGAAGAGTCAAAGGTGGCCCGGTTGGGGAGGGCAGGGACAGTATTTAAGAAAGGATTAAGGTAACTAAATAGTTAGGGTTTGAGAGAGAGAAAAGTTTAAAAGGATAGAATCTGGAGATAAGGAGAGGTTGAAGTAGGAGGCTGAAAAAGAGGCCACAACAGAAAAGGGCTTGAAATGGCCATGGGGAAGGAGGAGGCTAGGGCAGGAGGGCAGCGAGGTCGCGACTGGGAGACTATGAAGAAAAGTGTGCAGAAAGGGCTGAAGGACTGGAAAGGAGAGGCAGTAATTAGAATGCTGCAGAAGGAAAAGGCACTGGCTCTGGATAGGAAAACACAAAATTTTCTCTATGTCCCCACAGATTTTTCCATACAGAGGGTCCAGAAGGCAGCACAAGGGATCAATTTGAAGACAGAGGGGACCCTTGGGAAAAGGTTAGGGCAGGGCCAGCTCCAGCCACTTTCTCCTCTCCAGCCACCAACCTAATTGCTGCCTCAGTCTTATTTTCTAGCTTGGGGGGAAAGAGGAAAAAAAAAAGAGAGAAACTGAGAGAAGCCTTTGTCCTGAGCTACCATTGTCCTGGCCGGCAGATCAGCCCAGGTGGGAGGAGAGAGGGATAAACCAGCCCAGAACCTCCCATTCTCAGAGCTCTGCTTTCACAGTCAGACAGCCTGGGGGGATGGGGCCTGTCCTTAGCCAGAGGGTCAGGAAGAGGTCAGCACGATTCAAGGGAGAGGCACACTTCCCAGAGCTAAACTGCAGTCTCCTTCGAACCACCTGTCAAGCCTGGCCCCACTCCGCAGACAGGAAAATGGAGGCCTTCAGCTGCATGGGGAAGTGAAAGCCTGACTACTGGCACCTGGCTGCCAACCCCAGAGAGGGTCGGAAATGGTGCACAAGCCCACAGACACAGACACACACTCCTGTCACACACATCCAAACACACACTTAGGCCCTGACCGTTACTCTCATACACCCACCCCTCACCATCCTCAACTGAGTTCTGCAAAGACAGGACTTGTGTTCAGCACACAGATAGGAAATGAACAAATATGCCACGGCCAGACCACACAAACACACAGACAGAACAACTGCAACTGCCCAAAACTGTCACGAACTGCCCAGGACAAACATGCACCCTTGTGGGCATGGCTGGTAAGGGAGACTCTCCTCCTCACGTTCTTAGATTCCATTCACCTCCTTAGTGTCTCAGGCTGAATAATTATTTGGGGCCTTAGGAGGAAGGCACTCCCTCAGAGCTGGAGGCTGGGCAGCAATGATGGGGGATGGGACAGACATTCTAGCCTCAAAGCCTTCTCATCCTCAGAAACAGGACTACACACCAGATTTAGCCTAAGCGCACCCTCTTCTCCAAGGGGGCTTTGGGAAAACAGGGGAGCCCACAGCACCTCTTCACCCCCAAGTGAGGGAAGGCTGGATGAAGCGGGAACCTCTCTTCCATTCCATCCCTTTAAAAGTCTCACAGCTGTACAAAATACCCCCCTCTACCCCACCCTGCCCCCAGCTTTTAGCCTGAGAAAGGGAGACACTTCCCTTCAGATCCAGACAGGGACAGACGGCCACTTTGTAATGCAGATGAGGGCCCCAGCACAGAGAGGACAAAGCTTGGGCCTAGGGGGAAAGAGGCGGGGCCCTTCCCTGCAGACAAAAGCAAGGAGGGAGGGGCCCTGCAGAGGACACTCCCCCTCCCCCACCCCCAACCAGCCCAGAGAAGGAAAAGTAACACAGCTGAAAGCTCTGGCTCAGGATTTCTTCCCTAGTTCTGAGGCCCACACACCTCCCGAGGAGCCAGACTGCCTGTTCAAAAGACACAAACTCAAAGCTAGGTTAGCTGGTGGATCAGCAAAGAGGAAGAGACCATTCTTTAAAAGGGATTTGTCCACACACAAATTATTACAGATCCACATAAGTTTACACTTGAATGTGATGCGATTCCATTAATAAACGTATATTCACTTGTTCCAAAGCTAAACAAGACACTGCCTCTCCCCTCAAGGAGCTCAGTCCAGCACATCCTGGAACGCACCTAAGCACAGAAGGCACACATGGACATACGCCCCTGAGATCAGAAACAATGCCTCAGTTTTGTACGTGTCTCAGGACACCACTCCGACCTCTTTCCAGAGAATAACCGTCCAGATGTAGGAAAGAGGCAGCGATGGGCCCTACATGGGCAACTTCTGGGCAAACTTCAATTACACCCTGGGATGAGGCAAAGCCTGACCACTAGGCTTTTCCCAAGGCTGCAGCCGACTACAGACACCAACCCTCTCCCTAGAAGCTTATGTCTCATAACAAACCAAAAAATATTTTTTTCAGCACACCAGAGCCAATTAGAAATTCATCAGGGTAAAATCATTAGCAGTCTGGAATGGGTGCCAGCTCTCAGCAATCCATTTGGACTTCAGGGACAGGTTGTAGGAAAGTCTCCAGCCTAGAAAAGCTAGAGAGTTCCTGGGATGGAGAGAGGGTAGTTTGTGCTCCCTGAACTCTACCTGAGGACCTACACGGTCCGGATGAGGTTGTTTTTGCTCGGGAGAAAGCAATCTGTAAGCATCTGTAGGTCACAGCATGGACTCTTGAATTTGTTAAGAGCTATTTCCTGGGATGCTGAGATCAGGTCTGCTCTAAAAGACAAAGATTCTGCCACCAGGTAAAGAAAGCAAAGTTCATGGCTCAAATGGAAATTCTACTCCTAATTCCAGACCAAGTGGAAGGAGGTGGTGAGAGATGATCTAACAGCCTTGTGTCCAGATTGCTCCTCCCATCACAAAATAAGAGACCCAGGACACAAGAGGTCCCAGCACCCCACCGCCCACACTGAGGATGCCAGTCTTTTTGGGGGGACAGTTGTGCCTCAGTGTCTCTCTGTTCCTTTCCTCTCCTTTTCTGCCTGTGAATAAGAAGTCGAGCTGTCACCATGGTGAAGGTGATAAACACCACTCCCCCTCCTCTAAACAGTTTGTTGGGAGGGGACATTTGGCTTTAATGACATGGCCCTGCCCATTTCTGGGCTGTAGACAGGAAAAAAGGAAACACACCTGGTGGGACACAACAGCCTTGGAAATATTGAAGTACAGCAAGAGATCAGACTGTACCCTCAAAAGACAATTCAATAGCAAAGGTCATCCTGGGATTAAAGCTCTCATTTCTACTCACTATGGAACCAAAAACTTGCCACCCAGGCAAACCTCTTCCAAGTACACCTGGTCCTGCCCGTCCTTGGCTCCTCAGGAACCAACACCTCTTCGAAAGCCTCTCTTCAGGACCCTCCCCCAGAACACGGCTTCAGTCCCAGTCTTTCTTCAAGTGACAGAAAAGGCACTTTGGCTGTTTCCCTCAACTGATTATTGGCAAATTGTGACTGAGGAGCTTGAGCGTCAAGTGTAAGCGCCCCTGAGATGGAAGAGGGGGACATTTCCGTCTGCACTCTGCAGCATAGCCCTAAGAAAGAACGCACCCCAACAGCGCGCTCCTTTTTCCACGCCAAACGGGGCGGGGGTGGGGGTATTCGGGCAGCCACGCCCCCACCACGTCGGGCAGCCCCTTCCAGCTGCCACCTCCGCGCATGCTCCAGTACCTCCGCTCTGTTCCCCAGCCTCACGGGGGGGAATCCCCGGCCTGGGTCCCCACCCACCGCCCCCTGACCCTCGCCCCCGCGTCAGGCCCGGTTGGGGCGGAGCTCATAGCCCAGCTCTGGCGCCTTCTCCCAAGAGACAGAAGCCTAGCCCAGCCCAGCCCAGCCCAGCCCGGCTGAGCCCCCGCCCCCCGCATGCGGTAGCTCCGGGCCCATCTGTATCGCCACCCCCTCTCCTGGACACCTGGATCCCGCCCCCAGCCACCTGCCGGGCCTCTCCGTAGGCCTCCTCGGATCTCCCGGAGTCCTTCCTGGCGCTCAGGCCCTTCTCCCCGATTAATCCCCCCCCACGTCTGCACACCGCCTCCTTGGACAAACAGCCCCCATCTCTGGGCTCTCTTCACATGGTTCTCCCCCGGAACTGCACGCAGCCCTCTTGAAACTGGCCCCCCATCCCATGAGAGCCCCCCTCCTCAATCAGGAGCCCTTCCCACCATCGGGAGCCATGCTCTCCACGCGGGAGCCTCCTGGTCTTTGCAGCACGCACCGTTCCCCCTCCCAGGGGCCCTTACCTGCTCCCGAGGGTCCCGCTTCCATCCCATATACCCGTGCGGAGGTCAGGCGGCCCGGAGACTGTGGAGTCCAGCGTGAAGGGCCTAGGTACCCCTCACTCTCGCAGCTCGGGCTCCCGGGCCGGGCTCGGCTCCCCCCCCAAGCCCGGCCGCTAGCGCCGTCGCCCCCGCAGCCTCCGTTGCCGCCGCCGCCGCGGAGCCTGCAGCAGCTCCCCCTGCGAGCGCCCGGCCAGCTACCAGTGCGCAGGCGCGACCGCCAGGCCCAGGGGGCGGACGGGAACGAGTCAAGCGGGGCGCTCCGACGGCAACAAAGGCCAATGGAGAGGGGCGGGGGCACCGGGGACCGGAGGCAGCGGCCCCTGGCGGTCACCCGACGCCATGCAGCTCGGCAGGAGGGCTCCGGTAGAAGCGCCGCGGAACCGCGCCGTGGCGTCAGTGGGGCGGGGCGACCCCCGCCCGCCTCCGACTGCCTCAGGCCGTCTGTTCTCCAAATAGGTCCCTTCAAACCTACATAAAGCCCGCGCCCTTCGCCCAGAGCCACGCGCGCATTACGGAAGCCCCATCTCATGCCCAGACCCCCTTACAGTCGAGCACCCCATCACGGCGGGGCCTTGCCTCCCACCTCTCCTCCCAATCACTCTCATCCTTCAAGCCTTGGCTGCAAAGCGACTGCCTCTGCGAAGTCTTGCTCTGTCCCCAGTCACTGAACTCAATGACGCCACCCTCTCTTCCAGGCCGTGCGCTGGGCGCAGAGACCACAGATATGTAAAAGACCCTGCTTCTCCTGGAAGATGTCGCTCTCAATTAAAGTATGGTTACCGGACTTCATCTACCCTATCTGCGAAGTACCTGCCCCCACTTCCTCATCTACAGCTCACGCTTAAACTATCAGCCTGCTTCCGATCTCGCCAAGTCACTAAAATGGCTTAAAAAAAATTTTATTTATTTAAAACGCAGAATTACAGAGAGGCAGAAGCAGAGAGAGAGAGAGAAAAAGCTTTCATCTGCTGGTTCACTCCCCAGTAGTTGCAACGGCCGGAGCTGAGCCAATCCGAAGCCAGGAACCAGGAGCCAGGAGCTTCTTCGGGTCTCCTACATGGGTACAGGGCCATCCTCCACTGCTTTCCCAGGCCATAACAGAGAGCTGGATCAGAAGTGCAACAACCAGGACTCAAACATGCAACCATATGGCATGCTGGCAGTGCAGGCATTGGCTTTACCCATTACACCACAGCGCCAGTCCCTTAAATGGCTTTTTAAAATGTCCAAATCCAAAGGATAATTTTGTTATTTTCTGCCACAACATATGATATTACCTCTCTTTTTCTGAGACTTCTACTCAGCTTCAGCCTTTTGTGAAGTCTCCTATTGCCTAAGTCCTTTAATTCTTCCTCAAGACTTCCTTCTTCCTTTTGCCCCACTAAATAACTTCACTGTGCTTCCAGATCGGCTGTCTTCTCAGTCCACTCTCCATTCTCCCATCAGAGGTCTCTTCCACTTTTAGGGTCCAGCCATATCTCAGACTCGCATTTCCAAGTCTCTGCTGGACAGCTCCAGCTGGATCTCCTCCCAGAATGTCAAATGTAAAGGGTCCAAATCAAACCCTTTATCTTTACCCCACAAATGTACACTATTGTTCTATACTTCTTGTCTCAGTGAATGACACCTTCATAACAAAATGACAAATCCTCTGATGCATTCCTCCTGTTCAGTTACTGAGCACATCTTAACAGGTTTACCTCCTGAGATGCTTGCTAAGCGATTCCTCTGTCATTCTGATGGTTCTCTGTGCTGGTCATTTGTCATATTGTGCCACAAATATCACAACCACTTCTGTGCTGGTCTCATGAATTTTGAAAACACCCCTCCTATTTTGTCTGCTGCAGTGGTAGATTAGTGATAGTTAAAAGACCCGGCTCAAACATCACTGTCCCATCTACTCATTTGTATTAGTCCTTCTTATGTATTTTTTTTTTTGACAGGCAGAGTGGACAGTGAGAGAGACAGACAGAGAGAAAGGTCTTCCTTTGGTTCACCCTCCAATGGCCGCTGCGGCTGGCACACTGCGCTCAGCGCACCGTGCTGATCCAAAGCCAGGAGCCAGGTGCTTCTCCTGGTCTCCCACGTGGGTGCAGAGCCCAAGAACCTGGGCCATCCTCCACTGCACTCCCAGGCCATAGCAGAGAGCTGGCCTGGAAGAGGGGCAACAGGGACAGAATCCGGCACCCCAACTGGGACTAGAACCCGGTGTGCTGGTGCCACAGGTGGAGGATTAGCCTAGTGAGCCACGGCACTGGCCCATATGCATTTTTGATGCCTGCTTAGCACTAGATTCTGTGCCAGAGGGCTAGAAACTTGGCCATATTCAATCCTCATCCATGAAGATATTAATTTCTAACAATTTTTGCAGCATGGCCAGTTTCTCTCCAGCAGATTCTCAACCAGCATCCATGATAATCACCCAGAGGGTATTCAGTTCACTGACTGCTGAACTCTGCCTTTAGAGTTTGTGGTTCAGCAGGTCTTGGGTAGAATCCAAGAATGTGTACCTCTAACTAATTTTCAGAGAAGGCTGAGGCTGCTGAACTGGGAACTACACTTTGAAAACTATTGGTTAAGAACAAGATTATAGCCAAAGCTGGTTTCCAGTCTTGGTTTCCATTGTGGCCCTACCATTTACTACCGTGTAACCCTGGGTGAATCACTTGATTTCTCTGTGTCTCAGTTTCCTCCTCTATAAAATGGTGGTGATAATAGAAGCTACTTCATTATGCTGTTGTGAAGATTGAGTTAATAAATTTAAAAAAGACTTTAGAACAGATGCCCAGAGAATACAAACATAAGCTGCTACCACAATCATTAGCTGCCTCTCACATAATATTTTAAGTTCCTTAAAGATAGAAACCACATCAGATACTTTCCTCCCCCCTTTAACGCCAAGCACAAGTAGTGCCTAGAATGATTAGTAAATTTTTGTTTCCCTGAATCAATAAGATGGCTTCCAAAGCTCCGAGAAACAGCAAGACCCCTGCTCTGGTGTGACTGAACTTGAAGCTCAGCTTTCCCAAAAAAGAGTCTGAATATTCTGTTGTAAATAGTCAGTCTCATAATTACCTTTGTGGAAAAGCCCTGGTCACTATTCTGATCCATCTCAAAGTAGCTAGTGAACCAACATCTGTCTCAGCCTCTAAAGGTCATTCTACAGAGTGTCCCTGTCATCAGGAATTTTATTATTGGATAAGCAAAGTGGTAAAATATAAGAGAAATTCAGGTAGCATTTTGCTTTATATGTTGACGCAAACTTCTTTCAGTAATTTTTAAAAAGATTTATTAGCCAGCGCCACGGCTCACTAGGCTAATCCTCTGCCTTGCAGCGCCGGCACACTGGGTTCTAGTCCCAGTCGGGGTGCCGAATTCTGTCCCTGTTGCCCCTCTTCCAGGCCAGCTCTCTGCTATGGCCCGGGAGTGCAGTGGAGGATGGCCCAAGTCCTTGGGTCCTGCACCTGCATGGGAGATCAGGAGAAGCACCTGGCTCCTGGCTTCGGATAGGCGCAGTGTGCTGGCCTTAGCGCGCTGGCCGTGGCGGCCATTGCAGGGTGAACCAACGGCAAAAAGGAAGACCTTTCTCTCTGTCTCTCTCTCTCACTGTCCACTCTGCCTGTCAAAAAAAAAAAAAGATTTATTTTATTTATTTGAAGGGCAAAGTTACAGAGAGAGGCAGAGCCAGAGAGAGACAGAGGTCTTCCATTCCACAGGTCAACTTCCCAAATGACCACAACGGCCAAAGCTGAGCTGATCCAAAGCCAGGAGCCAGGAGCTAGTTCCGGGTCTCCCATGTGGGTGCAGGGGCCCAAGGACTTGGGCCATCTTCTACTGCTTTCCCAGGCCATGGCAGAGAGCCGGATTGGAAGAGGAGCAGCCAAGACTTGAACAGGTGCCTATATGGGACTCTGGCGCTGTAGGCTAGGGTTTTAACCCACTGTGCCACAGTGCCAGCCTCTCTTCCAGTAAGTCTTAATGTATATTACCAGAAATATATTGGCTACTTGTTTCCAGTTCACTCTTTGCATCTCAGTCTATGGCTAACACACACCTAAGGGGCTCTGCTGTGTAAGCCAGAGCCCTTATCTATACACCTTTATACCCAGAATATCCTGAAGCTAAAATGAACCCAAAAAAAGGCATCCCTATCTTTATATTTTTCCCTTTTTAATATAAAAAGTACTAAGGACAGGCCGGCGCCGCAGCTCAACAGGCTAATCCTCCGCCTTGCGGCGCCGGCACACCAGGTTCTAGTCCCGGTCGGAGCGACGGATTCTGTCCTGGTTGCCCCTCTTCCAGGCCAGCTCTCTGCTGTGGCCCAGGAGTGCAGTGGAGGATGGCCCAAGTGCTTGGGCCCTGCACCCCATGGGAGACCAGGAGAAGCACCTGGCTCCTGCCTTCGGATCAGCGGGTGCGCCGGCCACAGCGCGCCGGCCACGGCAGCCATTAGAGGGTGAACCAATGGCAAAGGAAGATCTTTCTCTCTGTCTCTCTCTCTCACTGTCCACTCTGCCTGTCAAAAAAAATAAAATAAAATAAAAAAATTTTTAAAAAGTAGTAAGGACAAATTAATAAAGTATAACTAGTAGACTAAATGGGAAGATTGAAGAAAATAGGTAAGAATCTGTAACATCCACTGCTGGTACCAGTTAGTAAAATCAAACTGGAAACTCTAATAGTAAAATTTCAGTTAAAAAATTAGAAAAAACTTTATGACATGTGTGTAATCTATATGAGAAAATCCAGAAGAGCCAATGAGAAAACACAGAAAGAAATCTGAGATGAGTATTGTGGTGCTATAGGTTAAGCCAGCATTTGGACACCTGCATCCCAGAGCAGAGTGCCTAGTCTGAGTCTTGGCTACCCTGGACTTCTGAACCACCTTTCTGCTAATGCACCTGGAAGGCAGCCAATGATGTCCCAAATATTTGAGTTCCTGCCACGCATGTAGGAGACCAGTTAGGGAGTTCCTGGCTCCTGATTTCAGCCAGGCCCAGCCCTGGCTGTTGCAGGCATTTGGGGAGTGACCCAGCAGATGGAAGATATCTCTCTCTCTCTCCTATTCTATCTTCAAATGAATCATTTTTTTTTTTTGACAGGCAGAGTGGACAGTGAGAGAGACAGAGAGAAAGGTCTTCCTTTTCCGTTGGTTCACTACCCCCCCACCAATGGCCGCTGCAGCCGGTGCACTGCACTGATCTGAAGCCAGGAGCCAGGTGCTTCTCCTGGTCTCCCATGCAGGTGCACGG